TTGTTTAATTTTCCTATGAGTACAATTTTTGCTCAATTTCGCCATCATTAAATTTCTCGCTCAAATTCAATATTACAAAATTTTTGCTAAATTTCACTATTACCAAAATTTTCTAACACTAAATTTTTTGCTCATTTTCATTGCTATTAAAATCTTCATCGAATTTCACTATCATTTAATATCTCGCTCAATTTCTTAATTATCTACTAAATATTCGCTCAATTTCGCCATCAGTAAAATTCCGTCTATTTCCGTGCGAAAATATTTTTTAACCGACAGTTAACCCGTCGTTAATCTAACGCTCGATTAAAAACCCATTTTCTAACGAAGGTGAGTCAAGGGACTAATTTATTTTTCGCGTTCCATTTCCATTTCGCGAGGTGTCCATTTCCAATTTGCGAATGAAAAACGACACCGTCAAGAATTCGAAACGCGAATAAAACAAATATTAATGGCGTCGCGACGCCCTACGAACCGTCTATCGACGTCTATCCTATTTTATTTCGACATATTTACAAACGAAAATCCACGGCGAAATTAAGCAAAAATTGTAGTGATATTGAAATTAAATAAAAATTGTAGTGAAGTATTTATACCTTCATTTACTGAACTGTATAAATTTAAAGTTACATTTAACCTTCCGGTTAAACAATGGATCGATTAAATTAACACTCGGTTAAATTTAACGAACCGTTTGGGCATAATAGTATGTAAAACAAACTATTTGGAGTATTTTGGGCGATATCTGGCGGTTAAGCAAACAACATAGAAAATCCTTTTGTAATCTGCATAAGCAAACATAAAAGCAGCAAAATGGCGCTTGAAGAGTACATCACTATGTGATTGCCTTCGGTTTGGAAATTGTTTACGAAACACGCGCGGGGTTTGTAGGGTGGGAAAGCCGGTGGAAATTCCTCCTCTTTCTCTATATATAGTCCATAGTATCCATCGGGAAAAGCGGGAAAATTACATCTCCTGGATAAATATCATTAATAACGTTCTTTCGACGCGCGAAATTGATTGTTTCTTCGGCTGTTATTTTTTTCCCGGCGAAAACCCGTGGAAATCCGCGTGAAAAATGCGATACAAAGCCGGCTTACGGGGAAAACCTATACAGAGATAAAAACCGGCTAGTTTTCACTTTATATACCGCAATTATTTTAATGGAACACCAGACAATTTTTTCGTCGAGCTAATTTTCCTCCACAGAGAATTTTCCTACTACTCATTCAAGACGTATTAAATTAAAAAGTACCTTCATTTTTCTCATAGCAAAACGTGAATGTAAGATGAAAAAATACATATCGCCTCGGCTCGAGTAAAAATTTCCCGATTTAAAATTCACCCCCTTCGAACCCACCCCTAAAGCCCTCCCTTATACGTGGGTTGTTTGTTTTCCTGTCGACTACTTATGGTATCAGATGTACGTAAATGACTAAAACGTGACGTATATAAATTTCCACGATATTTGTTGCTTTTTCCAGGGCGTAGCGTCTGGAGAAATGAACCCGTTAGGCGACAAAAGACTGGATATATATATCCTGGATCTACTACTAGTATTAGATCATTTTTTTCTCCCCTGGCATGAGGATATTTTACACATAAAATGTGAGTTTATTTTAACGAACTGTGCCACCCTGTATAATTCATTACGGGAACGTTAAGTATACGAGGGTTGGTGGGTTTTTATTATTGATTCATTTTCTGGGGAGGTCTCGGGAATTATGGATTGCATTTAATATTCGAATCGAGAGGGCCCATTCGTCTTGTCCGGGAAAATGGAAATGGAAAGCGCTTCCGGAAGAGTTGGCGGTGTTTAAGCGATGATTTTCGCGCGGTAAGAGACCGATGGGTTTTTAAGTTTTGCACCCGAAAGGAAATTATCTCGAGGAATTTCCAGAAAATCCGCCGAAACTAACGTACGGGCACAAGAAAAATCGCCGGCGCATCTGAATAATTTCCCGTTTTTTCGTTCTCTCACCTTCGGAAAAAGTTTTCTTGTTTTTCCGGTTTATACGTCAAAAGCAATTTTACCGGCGAAAACGCTGCAAGTCCGACGCCAATTTATGAGTTAACAACTTTTCAAATTTAAGTTTCCGGTCATATAACAATAAACCTTTTCCATTCTTCGAGGTGTTTTCCATTATTGGCCCTCTCCAGTGACGTAGGTACATTACACTCAAACATTTCCTTCACAAATTCACAAATATGGTTTATATGTTATACTAAACTTTGCACTATACTTTACACTATACTTTACACTATGCTTGACACTATACATGCTATACTTTGCACTTTTAACGGAGTATATCTAATTGTAAGATTGGCTGCATTAGAGTAGGTACAGGTAGAGGTAAACTATACTTTTTACTATACTTTACACTATACTAGTACTTTATACTTTATACGAAGTATATCTAAGATTGATTGTATTAGAGTAGGTACAGGTAGATGTAAACTGGAGGTTATGGATAAAATACTTGATATTTTTATACTATGCTGTAGTTTACACTATACTTTACACTATGCTGTATACCCTATACTAGTACTTTGTACTTAATACTGAGTACTGAGTGTATCTTTGATTGGTTGTATAGATAGAATAAAGGTAGAGGTTATTGGGTAACTACGCCATTGTGGTTTTTGGCTGTGACTTTCCTTTTCGATTTGACAAATGAAGTATGAGCTTTGAGCTCTTTTCCCGCGTCTAGCGGGCCATGAATAATGGAAGCAGACGTCCCGACGATATCGAAATTTCCGCGATATTCAAAGACACTGCGATATAATTCAACGACTTTGCAGGAAGTTCCGAAACGGACGCGTCGAATGAAAAAAAAAAGCAGAAGAAGAAGAAGAAGTAGAAGAAGAAATTGTTCGGTTCATCCGGCGTTCTCGCATGTTTAATATTTACTCGGCGGTTGTTCAACAAGACGGATAATTATTTTTAATGTTAAGTCCCCGAGAAATTTTCGCGAGTTTCTTCTCGCGGAAGTTTTAAATTTGAATGCATTAGCATAATTTTTAATGCAAATCGTTGTATTTCGTACGAATGCTCAACCGTTATCGCCGACCAGAAAAAAAATTCTATGTATAAAATTCCCTTCTTTTAACTTAACTAGTTATCCGGTTAGAATTAAACAATCTATAACTTAATTCATCAATTAATAGTTATTAATTTATTTTAATCACTTCTCTCTTTCACTTTTAAAGCTTTATATAATTCATTCATTTTTTTAAGAGTTAGGTATAATTACATTCTCTTACATTTTATTTCTGTCTTTTTTATTTGAGATACTTCTCTCAATTATCTTTGCAATACTTAACAATTCTCTCAATTATATTTGCGATACTTCTCTCAATTATCTTTGCAATACTTAACAATTCTCTCAATTATATTTGCGATACTTCTCTCAATTATCTTTGCAATACTTAACAATTCTCTCAATTATATTTGCGATACTTCTCTCAATTATCCTTGCAATACTTGACAATTCTCTCAATTATATTTGCGATACTTCTCTCAATTATCTTTGCAATACTTAACAATTCTCTCAATTATATTTGCGATACTTCTCTCAATTATCTTTGCAATACTTGACAATTCTCTGAATTATATTTGCGATACTTCGCAACGTCATGCTTCATTAATATCCCTTCCTTAACGATTTTTTTTCCGCAAAATATTCCGCGATTTCTCGCGTGTAGCGCGCTCTTCGGTCGATTTTTTTATCGCGATCGTATATGAAAAAAAAACTATTCATTGTAACCGTACATGCGGTCAGGTAAGAGGCCGGTCGAGCCGTTTTAAATTCAATTAATCATCACCGGTAAGGTGTTAGGTCCGAGCACGCCAACTTCGCGGCGAAAATAATTGTTAATTTCGCCCGACAAAGTACACCGAATGAATTTTATTGCCGGGAATCCCGGACGGTTTTATTACCGGATGCCGGGTGTGTATTTTATACGGGATGATAAAAAACTTCTCGCTGATTTTCTTTATACACGTCCGATGCGCGAAAAGTTAAATGTATTTTACAGTACCGGAGTTTTCCAGGATTCGTTTTAATAGGAAATTAACTAGTTTGTTTTAGGAGGTTTAATGGACTAGTGACTCAAAATAATCCAGAGTTAGTAGAAAATTCTGAAAAAAAATCTTTAAATCTAAAGAAATTGTACTAAACATGGCAACGTAGCTTTCACAAAAAATCCATAGATCTACTGGAATTTATGTTAATGAATTTTTTTTTAGAAATTAAGGAGGCTCGATTATAATTAAGTTAAACTACGGTCCTGGGTTTATTCCGAATGCCCGGAATTACTACTCGATTAATTCACAAGGGAATATACAGGGAAAAATATGAGCTTAAGATATCTTGCATTATTCAAGGTACTTGAACAATTGAGATAAATTTGACACTTGAGGAAAATGTGGATGTTGAATTTTATGTAGCAATCTATTGATAAATTGTTAATAGGAATTGTAAGGATTTATGTAGGGAAGTTGGGAGTGGAGGAGCTCCTGCCATCTGCGTGGAAATTACTCAACTCGGTTAGTGGAAACTTTAGGATTCTCCCGATAAACGAAGAAAATTTTGCGTAAAAATAATTTTCCTGGTAGATGAATGAAACTTTTAAATTATATCATATCTTTCGTCTACTTAACAGTATAAAACAAATAAATATTCTGTATCATTTAATTGCCCACACTTCGTTTTCCCATCACAATTTTCTACCCTTAACAAACACATAATTTTCCACTCGACCAATTCTCCTAATTACCGCCTAATTAATTACACATCGCTCGTTGTAATACCTTCAGAAATTGGAGTAGCAACCCGTTTATAACACAACACACCTACCTAATTAACACCTTTGGAATTCTCTGTTTAAAAACATCGAAATAAAAAAATATATTAATTACGTGTACAATTAATTACTACCCAATTCAGGTATTTAAAGAAGCTTCCCATAGTTGATACAAACATTTCCCAATCGCCATAATGCCGGTAAGTTTCACAAGTTTTTCTCTCGAATGAGAGTTTACTCATCACTTCATTAGCTCAAATATGCCTCTAGCAAAATAATTCAGTGCATACATCCCGATTTTATTGTGCAGATGTTTGTAAAAGTACTTTAAATACCCACAAAAAAATAATATATCGCAGTTTAAAGGAACTTATGGCAGTAAATTCTAGTGGTGGTAGTTTGTATTTTTGTATTTCTTGTAATGTAAACTCCCTCTGTATTTCTTGTAATCTCTATAAAGCCGCAGGACAACGTCGATTTGAACGTCCACTACGCCCTCGAAAAATTCCTGCTAACCCGCCAGGGTTTCTACCCGATGAAAACCACCCCGTGGTGGTTCTACCTCAGCCGATACTACAACACCACCATCTCCCTGGTCCTCCTATCCCTGCTGGTGCTCTACGTGTTCTTCACCACCGGCGGGGACCTGGTGAAGCTCTGCGAGAACCTCCTCTTCTTCGTCACCGAGCTGGCCTTCGTCTGCAAGCTGATCAACATCGTGGTGCTCAAAGACCGGCTGTGGCTGCTCGAGCGCCAATTGAGCGAGCTCTCCCAAAGGGAATTCACCGAAGAAGAGAAGAAGTTGATCGATCGCACCGTCCAGGAGGCGCGCAAGTTCACGCACAGCTTCAGGTGGTTGTGCTACGCCGTGGTGCTCTTCTACGCGCTGGTGCCGCTGATCGACCAGGAGGAGGGCAACAGGAAATCGCCGTTGCCCATTTGGGTGCCCTTCGATCTGCAGGAGCACTATTTCTACGCGTGGTTCTTCAGCATCTCGGCGCTGTCGGTGGGGGCCTTCACCAACTCCAACATCGATATACTGACGATACTTTATATAACGATCGGTACTTCGCAGTTCGAGGTGCTTAAAAGGAGGTTTACGGCGGTGGTGGAGTTCGTGGAGGGTACTGAGGAGGTGGACGAGGAGGCGGTTAAAGCGAGGTTGAGGGAATGCGTTATTTACTTCGACGATGTTTATAGGTTTGTATAGAAAAATGTTCTTTTTTATATACTTCAAGAATTTTCCGATACGTGCGGTTTGTGGTAAGTTGTTGGTTGTAAAGTGGAGGTGATTTTGGGGAAGTTTCGAAGAAATTGTCGGGGGGTACTTATCGAGAAAATGACGAAAACACTAAATCTGCACGGAAAATTCGGGTTTTCACCGGGAAGGGGGCTTTTCCGGGTTTCGAAACGCCGATTTTCCGATCAACCGTGTCTGTTTACGTAGGATTAGATACTTTTCCGCTTTTAAAATGACGTCTGGTGTTTTTTTTGGACTCATAATAATTCTTTTAGCTACATCGTGGATCTGGAGGAGACTTTCTCCAAAGGGATTTTCTTCCAGTTCGCCTGCAGCGCGCTCACCATTTGCATGACGGGATTTCAATTGCTCATCGTGAGTACCGAGGCGCGACAAATGTTCTTTTAAACCTCTTAATAATGGTACTTTTCAGATCGAAATCGCCAGCGTGAATTTCGTTTCGATGAACGTGTACTTCAGCTGCATGATGTGCCAGATCGTCATGTACTGCTGGAGCGGCAATCGATTGATAGAGAGCGTAAGGAATCGTTTCCAATGGAACAAAACATTGGAATTTTGAACGGGGATTTGTTGTTTTCAGAGCGACGAATTGTCCAACGCCTGTTACTCGTCCAAATGGTACGAGTGCAGCGCGTCTGTACAGAAGACTATTACAGTGATCATGGAACGAGCGAAAGTACCGGTTAAAATGAGAGCGGCCGGTTTCTTCAGCATCAGCCTGCCCACTTTGATGTCTGTAGGTATTCTTGTAACACGGCAATGTTGCCAGCTTTGTTAGAATATAGCAAAACTGGGGGTACTTAGTTAACTTTTTTTGCAGATTTTGCGAACATCTTACTCGTATTTCGCCGTCTTACGACACGTGTACCAAACTTTATACGTCAATCGAGAATAATCGGTTTAACGAGAGGATAAAATTAACAAAAACACTTAGAAAATAGTAAAATATCGAGCAACTTTATTAATATAGTACATAACAAAAGGAATATTAAAGCGTATTAGGTAAACAAAAATTAGTTAAATACATTTTTAGGAGTTCTTCACGGGAATCGCTTGAACAATGGCTTTTACTTCGGTGTACTGTTGCAAACCGTACTCTCCCAACTCCCTTCCAGATCCGGATTCTTTAAAACCGCCGAATGGTACTTGCGGGCTGAATACATTGTAGCAATTCACCCACACCGTGCCGGCTCTGATACCTGAAATTCGTTTCGAATTAGACGCTGAATCGTTTTGTAACGAGAGTACCGAGTACCTTGCGTGAGATAGTTAATCTTATCAGCATCTTTGCTGAATACCGCAGCGGCGAGGCCGTAGTTCGTGTCGTTCGCCCGATCGATCAGCTCGTCCAATCCTTTGAATCTCAGCAATTGCTGTACTGGTCCGAAAATCTACAAAAACGAAACGTTTTAAATGATACAGTTACGAGGTTAGGGTGAAAAGTTCTCGGTCTGAATCATCTAGAACTGTCTAGAACAATCTACAACGATTCAGAACCATTTAGAACGCTCCGTAGTCATTTAGAATGCTCCAGAATCATTTAGATGTGTCTAGAACCATCTAGAATGCTCCAAAATCCATTCAGAACACTACAAAATGATCTAGAACGACCCAAAATGATTTAGTACTGTCCAAACCATAGTCTAGAACCATTTAGAACGTTCCAGAATCATTTAGAACTGTCTAGAACGATGTAGAATGCTCTAGAATCATTTAGAACACTCCAGATTGATGTAGAACGCTCCAGAATCGTCTAGACTTATTTAGGATGCACCAGAAACATTTAGATCCGTCTAGAACCATCTAAAACGCTCCAGAACCATTCAAAATACTCCAAATCGATGTAGAATTCTTCCAGAACCATTCAGAACGATGTAGAACAAATAGGAAATTACCTCTTCTCTGGCAATGATGTTATCGTCCTTGACATCGGCGAACACGGTGGGTTCGACGAAGAACCCTTCGGTACCGTATCTACCGCCTCCGTGCACCAATCTGGCGCCTTGATTTTGACCTTCTTTAATCAAACCCAATATTTTGTTCAATTGGGCCTCGTCGATTTGCGGACCTTGTTCGGTTTTGGGATCGAACGGATCGCCTGCGAAACAAAAACAAACAAACATAAATAATACTAATTACATCTGTATAAATATAAATAATACTAATTACTAATTAGCTAGACAAATCGCCTATTGTTTTAGGCGGATTAATGTTGAATTAATTATCGCTAATTGAGACGAGTTTTTTTGAATATTTTTTTTATAAAAGTATGTATTCTTATGTATTCTGTATGCAAAAAAGTGTTTGTTTGTATATCTATGCTATAATTTATTTTCTGTATTTCTTGATATATAAATATCGAGTTAAAATTTTAAATCTAAAACGGCTATATTTCCTAAAATATCGATAAAATTTCATCTTCAGTGTCAAATGAGCAAAATTAACTCTTTTTTTTTTCGGTTTTTCGCACTTTTCTCGAATCGAGTTCGTTCGATTCGCTTCAAAATCTCCCAAAAGATTCTCCATCGGTTTTCTCGACTTTCGTATACAGTCGTTTTCCAGGAAAATATCGTTTTGGGAAAATATCGTGGAAAATAGTTTTCGAGGGTTTTCTAAAAATCGAAATAACTCGTAAACGGTAAGATTTACGAACATTTTTCATACTTGCAAAATAATTGAAAATTCTTTTTTCCATTCAACAAAAGAGGCCTGGTGTTTTTCCGATCTGTACTTTTTGAGTTTTTTCGAAAAAACCGTCTTCAAAAATTGTCTTCAAGTTTGTAACGCGAAAACTCGGAAACTATCATCTTTTAGAAAATTTTGAAAGCGAAAATATATAGATACGACATTTTTCTATCTACCAAATTTTTTTTCCCATTTTCTTAATTATTATTTATCGAATTATAAAGATTTTTCGAAATCGATGCATATTTTACGGCAGCCGTCGAACCGGAAGTGAAAAACTTTCAAATCTACGATGACGTACGATCATTCCCGAATGAAAGACAAAATGGATGACTTTCGCGTTTCTATGGATATGTTGACATTTAATTTGATGTACAGGGTGTTTTTTCATTAAGGAAATCGGAAAAATCGGAAAATCGGAAAAATCGAGCTGATAAGCGAGTCTCACATCATACTCCTCTCCATTACCTCTAATCAGTTAAAGAAATCTTACCGACAACGCGTTTTTTGGCCCGCTCCACGGACCTCTCGACGAACTCATCGTAGATTTTATCGTCTATATAAGTCCTGGTACCGGCGCAACAGACCTGCCCGGCGTTAAAGAACACCGCCTGATGGCAATTCTCCACCACCACATCCAAATCCACATCGGACAAAATTATACTGGGACTCTTCCCGCCCAATTCCAACGTAGTCCTCTTCAAATTATTCTTCGCCGAATTCGCCTGTATCAACTTCCCCACCTCCGTGGAACCCGTGAAAGCGATCTTATCGACTTTGGGGTTGTCCACGAGAGCCGCCCCGGCGTCCCCGTAACCGGGCACCACGTTCAACACCCCAGCCGGGAAACCGGCCTCTTTGGCCAGTTCCGCCACGTACAAGGCCGTCAACGGGGTCTGCTCGGCCGGTTTCAACACCACCGTGTTGCCCATGGCTAGAGCGGGGGCGATTTTCCAAGAGAACATCAACATAGGGAAGTTCCAGGGGATGATTTGGCCGCAGACGCCGACCGGTTCGTGGCGCGTGTACGCGAAGAATTTCCCGTCGGCGGGCATGACTTTGCCGTGGATTTTGTCGGCGAAGCCGCCGTAGTAGCGGAGCACGCCCACCGAGGCGCTGATGTCGCCCAAGGCGTGGGCGTACGGTTTGCCGTTATCGAGCGTTTCCAAACTCTGTAATTAAATCGTTAAATGTGAGTTTGGGGTTGTAAATAGAACCGTTTTAGGACGCTCTAGAATCGTTTAGAACGCCCTAGAACCGTTTAGAACGCTCTAGAACCGTTTAGAATGCTCTAGAATCGTTTAGAACGCCCTAGAATCGTTTAGAACGCTCTAGAATCGTTTAGAACGCTCTAGAACCGTTTAGAACGCTCTAGAACCGTTTTAGAACGCTCTAGAATCGTTTAGAACGGTTTAAAACCATTTGAAATGCTTCAAAACAATTTAGGATGCTTCGGAAGCATTTAGAACTGTTTAGAATCATTTAGAACTGTTTAGAATGCTTAAGAATCATTTAGATGTATCTAAAACCATCTAGAATGCTCCAGAACCGTTCAGAACACTGCTAAATGATCTAGAACGACCCAAAATGATTTAGATCAGTATAGAATCATTTAGAACTATTTAGAATCATTTAGAATACTTCCAAAAACATTTAGAACAATCTGAAATCATTTAGAATGCTTCCAGAAACATTTAAAACAGTCTGGAATCATTTAGAACAGTATAAAATCATTTAGAACTATTTAGAATCATTTAAAACTATTTAGAATCATTTAGAACTATTTAGAATCATTTAGAATGCTTCCAGAACCAATTAAAACTATCTAAAACGATTCAGAATGACCCAGAATCATTTAGATTTGTCTAGAGACATCTAGAATGCTCCAGAACCGTTCAGAACACTACAAAATGATCTAGAATAGAATGATCAAAAATGATTTAGAACTGCCTAGAAGCATTAACATCACCTTGGAATCATTTAGAACTGTTTAATACCATTTAGAATGCTCCAGAACCGTTCAGAACACTACAAAATGATCTAGAATAGAATGATCTTAATGATTTAAAACTACCTAGAAGCATTAACATCACCTTGGAATCATTTAGAACTGTTTAATACCATTTAGAACCGTTCAAAACAGTCTAGAACCATTCAGTTTCCTATCGTTAAATGAGTTTGCATTCAAAAATGGCATTCGCAATCGAATGATTCAGCATATTTAATTAGTAATGTCACGATAATATTCATCCTTGAAATCAATCGACCAAACATATTGGTCGCATATAAATAGCAACATTTACAACATTGGAAAAGATAATAAAAAATGCTTAGTAAGAACCCGAACTTACGGCTACGTATGCGATGTCTCGTTCGAGCAAATCGGCCAGTTTGTACAGCAAACGGCCTCGAGCTGAGGCGTCCATGGTTCGCCATTTGGAGCCCCTTCGGAAGGCCTCGTTGGCTGCTTCAACAGCCAAATTTATGTCTTCCTTGCCGCCTTGTTGGACCTCCGTGATGACTTTTCCTGTCGTGGGATTGACCGTTTGGAATGTCTTTCCGGATTTCGATTTGTGCCATTCGTTGTTAATGAAAAGCTATCGGGTAATACGGGGGGTTTAATCAATCGTTTTTGTTCGAAGATTTTTAGAAGTAATTTACTGAGTAATTAAATGTGGTACTTACTCCGGAGTATAAGACGTTAGGAGATGGAGTTGCCGCCGGTAAAACGCTGTAATTGCATTTCGGTACAATGTTTATTGCGTTTTTAATAGCCGATAACATTTTCGATTGATTTTGATCTTTTTGACCGAACAACCGGGTGAAGCGCTATTAATAGAAGGCTTCGCTACGATAAAGAATCAAGAGTGAACTTTTTTCATTTATCTCTCTATTTATATTTACACTTTAAAGATAACACGGAGTAGTGGAGTAGCTATTTTTATTTAAAAATATTCAAGGTTAAATTAAATTTAATGTTGACACTGTTGACAGGTACGTCAAAAAAAAGAAGATTTTTTTAACAAACGCTAAATTTAATTGTATAATTAAATACGATAAAGAATTAAAAGTGAACTTTTTTTAATTAATAACTCTCTATTTATTATTTTATATTAACTTTTCGAGCACCATCAAAAAAATATTTCAATGTCAGATTAGATTTGACGTTGACAGATACGTCAAAAAAAAGTTAAATTTCATAACAAACGCAAAATTGAATTACATAATTACTAATAAACCCACTTTTAACTAATAAATCAACACAAAAACTAAATAAACACTCAATTACAACAAATCGCTACAACCACAGACTATTACTATGAGATTATTCAGTTAGTCGGATACGTTCGTTTGTACAAAAAAAACGCAGAAACCTGTCAAGCAGTGTGACAGGTGCTTGTCATCGGATCAGTTCGTGCAAGGTGGCCGTGACGCAATCGCACATGTTCATTGGGTTGTAGACGTTCAGGCGCGTTCGTCTCCAGTTGAATTTGAATGTTCGAATCGCCGAGAGGCTGCGATACGCGAATCCGTGTAATGTGTGTGTATGTCACATGCGTTAATATTTAAATTAGAACAATACAGCAAAATGTCCGATTAATTGGACAATAACAAATACGGAAAGTGCTGTCGGGTTCGGTGGAGTGAAATATGGACGCTCGTTAAACGGCCGTGTTAGAAAAGGTGAGTTTGTTTTGGTTTTATTTCGGGGAATAAAATGCAATTTTTCGGATCGGTTTTCGAAATTGCGATTTATTTACATTTTTAGTGGTATATCAGAGTAATCTGGGTAAACGATAAATTTACGACGTCTTGTGCGCGTTTGCGACTCAATAATAATAAAGATAAATTTTTCGGTAAATTTATATTATTTTCTTTTTTTATACCGTGCGAAATATTTTTAGTTTTCCCCAAAGCAGCGTGGATGGGAATTCGTGAATTTAGGACGACGTGATAAAGCGAAAATAATCAAATATTTGTAATAACACGCAAATATTTATTTGACTAATTACATTCCGCGTACAAATTTTTCGGTTAATAATTCCAATAAAATAAAAAAAAAACGGTGTTGTTTAAACCGAAATCGGTAAATAAAAAGCGAGTGAAAGTACAAATAAAATGATTTTGCGATTTATTGGTATTATTATATATTTAATCTTTTTAACACGTTGACCGCCGCTAGAAATCGATCAATTAACAAGGACATTATTTATAATATCTTCATCTTTTTATATATCTTTGTACAAACAATTCCGTATTATCTACATTTACTGTTTTGATTAAGTATTACAACTCGAGACAAATTAGGATAACAGTCAAACGTGCTAAACAAAATGTACTTACTTATTTCAATACGCCACTTATTTTCACGTTAATTAAATAAATAAGTATTTTTTATTCATTGCATACAGGGTTATTCAACTATATGAATAGTATACTCAGAATGTTTCATTTAAAATAATAGAATTATTTTCTATTAAATTGCTGCTTTTGTTTGGCTTTCTCTGTATTGAACAATTATTTTCTAATAAATACCCGTCTTTTTTTTTTGCTTACTCTGTATTATAGAATGTTGGGCTCACCCTGTATTCCATTACCGTATAGATTATATTTTTCGCGCCAATTTCACTAAAATGTCACTTCCATTCAATAATTCTAATCCCACCACTCGCTTTTAAAACGGAAGTTTCAACTTTTTCGAACTTCCGGTAGAAATCCATTCATAAATGTGTTTCCGCCATTAAAATTTAAAGGAAAAAGAAGAAACGTGCAGTTTTGCAATCGTCTTCCGATGGAATTCCATTCAATTCGATACACTATAGTAAAATAAATAGTAAATAATAGTAAATTCTTGACAAGGTCGCTAAGTAGATTTCTCATTGGCGCAAAATAGGGACTTCTATAATACCAGAAAGACACTTGAATGCGAATTTTTATAAAAATGAATAATTTATTTTCGAAAATTAGTAAACACATGATTATTATTCTGAAACGATAATTTTTAATACACACAAACGAAAAATACAAAAAAAATTGGTCCATTGACTTTACCTAATCCACAAATAATATTTAGAACGAAATATTCCCGAAACGCGGAAATCGGCTAATTATAGCCAGATCCGTATCCAAATAATTAAAAAGGCCCTCCCATCCGTTTACCGGGCACGAATTATTTTCGAAACCCCGATAAACCTCTCATTCGATCGAGTTTATTAAATCCACACACACACACACACACTGTACGAGTCCAGATATAAAAATAAACCCATCCATCAATTTTTTTTTTCGACACTTCTCCATCACCAACGACCGTTCGATATAATACTTATTGAATAATAAATATCCGCTCATCCGAAACCCAACCGCAACAGTTTTTCTTACGGAAAAAACCGGCACGGCGACGTTGCCGAACGCGCGAAAATTTCCCCAGATTATATATTATTTTTTTCTTCGGCCGGTTTCAGCGAGCATCAGTCGTAGGAGGCCGGGGGTGAGCCACTCGCCCCCCTCCCCCCAGCCGGCGGAATGGGATGCTCCCCGAGCGCTTTGCTCGACCACATCCAGAGGGAACCATCATCGCACTCCGACAGGGAGAAGGTCCAGGTGTCCAAGAACTCCGTCGGGCTCGTCCTCGCGAGCCCCCCTCAAACGACCGCTGTCAAAGGTTAGTGCCTTATTCTGTCCTTATTCGATAACCCAAGACCCTATTCGACCATCCTTTTTTAGTAAATAATCTCCCTGGTTACTCCATAACAACCAATGTAAATCTGTCAATTTGAAATAATCTCCTTAGTTACTCCATAACAACCAATGTAAATCTGTCAATTGAAAGTGTCTCCTTAGTTACTCCATAACAACAATGTAAATCTGTCAATTGAAAGAGTGTATACAGGGCGATTCGTAAGTAACTCGGCTGTTATATTTGTTTTTCTAGCGAACGTATGTGCATATGTTATATTTGGTTCTTTAGACGCATTAGACATTATCTCACTATTTGAACTTCATTTTACAATGATCCTATCTTAATCAGTTATTTACGACTTTATCGATAAGACTCCTTACTTATAACGGCAAGGCTACGCAATACGTAAGTTATTTCTTCAAACAATTAGTATTAATTTTAAGCGAAAAAAAAAGGCTCGACGTTGGTTTTGAAGCGTGAACGTTTTCGGTCCATAATCGGAGGAGTTTTTCGTGATTTTTAGTGAGTGAAATATATACTTTTTGGATAAATACTTAAATAATATACGGGATGTTCTAATACTCCGCGATATGGATGGTGAAAATAATGGTAATATGGTGGTTTTGTATTATGCAATCTTTGAAGTTAATATAGGTGTATTAAAATGGAGTTTTGTACGTTTTGCAAACAGAGAAAGTTTATGGAAGTTTGGTAATGAAATTTCGTTTTACTTGCAGAATAAGTTTGGTAGGAATAAAAGTACAATAGGAGTACAGTAGGAGTAGATTAAGAATAGAAGTAGAGTGGAATAGGAGGGGAGTAGGAATGTAGTAGTTTAGAACTGTTTAGAATCATTTAAATTGCTCCAGAACCAATTAAAACTATCTAAAACCATTCATAATGATCCAGAATCATTTAGATTTGTCTAAAGCCATCTAGAATGCTCCAGAATCGTTCAAAACACTACAAAATGATGTAGAATAGAATGATCCAAAATGATTTAGAACTGTCTAGAACAATTTAGATCGCCCTGGAATCATTTAGAACAGTTCAATACCATTTAGAATGCTCCAGAACCGTTCAGAACACTGCAAAATGATGTAGAATAGAATGATCCAAAATGATTTAGAACTGTCTAGAACCATTTAGTTCGCCCTGGAATCATTTAGAACTGTTTTGGAGCTTTGTACGTTTTGAATACAGAGAAAGTTTTCGTAATGAAATTTCGTTTTACTTGCAGAATAAGTTTGGTAGAAAATTTAGTATGAATAAAAGTACAGGATGAGTACAGTAGGAGTAGATTAAGAATAGGAGTAGAGTGGAATAGGAGGGGAGTAGGAATAGAAGTAGAGTGGGAGTAGGAGTAGAAGGACCTTTCATCCTTCACGCTCAATTTATATCCTTTAGCCTATAAGTAATTAGAAAATTCGTAAAAATTGTTATTAATTAACGGTTGTACCTACTCTATAACGACGGTCTGATGCTGGAATTACTTAACGAAATTAATTAGCACACCGAAACACAATTTGGTTATATATTTTAGTAGGTTAATTAATTGGTGCACGCCTCGGTCCTTCTATTATACCAGCGTGGCGTACGCGATTTTCAAATTTAATTGCCTTCGAAATCAATTAGATTGATTAATTGCCGGCGTCGCTAGAATGGACCTTTCCTGTTCCGGAAAGAACTTCCATTTTCGTATAAACTCGTTTATACGATGAATAAATAAATAAACTGCTCCACAAAAGTTAAGGAAGTTCGCAAATTTCGCGATTATTTTAAAAGTTACAGATTTTCTGATTACCAAATTTTCAAATATGCGAAATTAAATGTTTTCTCTCATATCTGAGTGGATTTTTTGCTCTTATGACCGACCGCTCACGGAGCAACTGTTTTAAAACAAAAATTGTAAACCAGTTGATCTTGCAACTATTTTGCAACCTCGACAATGTACAGTAGTGTGGATCAGCAAATAAGTCGATTTTATGATTCATTGCAAACTAGTTTCATTTGAATCGAATTGTGTGCGGTTCCACACTACTGTACATTGAGCGAGGTTGCAAAATAGTTGCAAGATCAACTAGTTTACAATTTTTTGTTTCATTCAATAAAGATTTCATTCTAGTTTAGTCTGTAACCAGTTTACAACTAATATTAAACTTCTGTACACACACGGATGCGACTATTATAAAACAGTTTCAATCAGATGCTATAGTAATTTATCGAATGTCGAATGAATCACACCAGAAATTGGCAAGAATTTAAAGCGACTCGAAACTGCAAAGCGACTGCGACATCGGGAAATGGTCGAGTACAACTGGTTTATGACTCGTCGCAAACTAGTTTCATTCGAATCGACTTGTGTGCGGATTACAAGGTTGCAAAATAGTTGCAAGATCAACTAATTTACAATTTTTTGTTTCAAAACATTTGCTCCGCGTGAGCGGTCGGCCTAATTCTACAACTCAAACTAAATTCTGCGATCAAAAAACCTGCAACTTTTAAATTAATCTCAATATTTGTGAACGCGTCTTTATAACTTTTGTGGAGCAGCACTTTCTCACTTTAACAGCTATTTTATCGATAGCTCTTTCTTCAACTCGCAGAGTAAATAAAACTTTTATAACATATACACGTTTATTTATTAGAGTAATAATCGCGCGAATTCAACAAATTTGCGACGGAATGCAATCGGCTCACCTCGAATCGGTTCGAATCGCCCGGCAACAAGTAGATCGATTTTTCGCAAATTTCCTTCTCGACGAAATTCAAATCGTTCGCGGTCCGTTCTCGCGGTTCGATTTGGCGGTCGTGCCGCTTCCACACGGCGCCGCCTTCGATCTTGCACAGATAGGACTTGGCGTTCAACACCTCGTCGATGACGCCTTCGGTCCAGCCGATTTTATTCGATCGTCTGTAGTCCTTCACCCACACCGATTCCATTTTGCGGAAACGGGATTTTTCCTCGTTCATGTTGTCAATTTTTGACAATTAATTTAGCCCGTTTTCGATCGTATTAACTTTCTGATGCGATTGGCGGGAGAAGGGTTCGATTTGTATAATGCGAAAGGGAATTTATAGAGCGCCCCTCGTATGTATATATATCGTAAAACGTCGGGTGTGATTTTGGGGGATAAATTTTCCGGTTGGTTTCGCCCGATTTTCCGATTAGATGAAGACGGGATTCGTTTTGGCGATTTTCGTATGCGAATCTTATGGGTATACGAGGAGCGCGCGGAAATTACTCGACTGTTGATCTACGAGGCGAAGTCAATTTGGAGTAGATTTAGATTAGATTCGGAGATGATTTAATTGGGGTTGGTTTGGAGCAGATTTAGTGTAAATTTAGGGTACGTTTGGAGTAGATTTAGATGAGTACGTTCAAGTAGATTTGGGGTCGATTTGGAGTTGATTTAGAGTAGTTTCAGAGTAGATTCAGAGTAAATTCAGAATAAATTTAGGGTACATTCGGAGTAAATTTAGATTAGATTCAAAGTAAACTCGGCTGAGGAGATTCAGAGTAAATTCAGAGTAGATTCAGAGTAAATTTAGGGTATATTCGGGGTAGGTTTAGACTAAATTGTAAGAATGAATAGAGTAAATTCAGAGAGCAAAATAAGGGTACAGTAGATTTAAGTAGGAGTAGATAGAGTAGATTCAGAATCATAGTAGAGTAGATTCAGAGTAAACTCGGAGTAGTTTCAGAGTAGATTTGAAGTAGAGCAAAATATAGAGTAGATTCAGAATAAATTCGGAGTAGATTTAGAGTAAAGTAGAGTATATTAGTGTAATCCTTTTGCGGCCAATTTACACCGGTCGATACGAGGGTGATGGCAAATTTTACTAATTTTTTTTCGAGGTGTCGGGGATTTTCCGGTTAGTTAAAGGCAAATTATACGAGGGGGGATAAAGAAAATTCGCGCCCTTGGGCTGTACGGGAGGGTGATAAAAAATGTGGTGCAGGTAATGGGAATGAAATTGGGTCGAATTTACTGCCCGTAGCATTCCAATTAGGCTTGTTATAGAAGTTTGTCGAGTCGCAGCGCATATCAAAATAATCCAATTTCGTATTTCGAGGCGCGTTTATAAACTCGGCGGAATTTTTATGCACTTTATTAATTTTCCGGGCGCACATACACGCGGAAAATTCGCTTCCTTTCCGGCCGATTTATTCATTACATGGAATTTAATATCTCGATTTTTTTTCCATACATATAAAAAAATACGCGAAACTTCATCCCCAATTTGGCTTCATTACATCGAAACTCATTATAAAACTCTTTAGTATTCAGACGTATATATTAAAGAGGAAAACTCCCCGACTTTCCTGATTATTATCTTCCGCTCTAATCTCCGGGAGTTTTGCATTTCGTGACGTCAACCCGCCGTTCACCCCCTTTTATAATAATCCACCCCATTTAAACATCCACACAGCCATATAATTGATATCAATTTACTTCTAACGGCAGGTTAATTGAGACGGCAACAATTCGCCTAAAATAACTACCCTTAAAATCGAACACCTCCATACGAGGGGTGAGCGATATATACTTTTTCTACCACCTACCCTTAAGCCTTTGATAAATCGCGAATATGTATTATACAAAATGCAGGTGTATTCAAACAGGTGTGTGCTAGTGTTAGGTCGTGTATACGAGGGGGATCGATATGCGGGGGATTCGGGGGGAGAGTGGGGCGGTCGAGAGCCGCCCCCGAGACGGGGTCGATGAAGGGGAAAGATAAATATGACAACCTGTTGATATATCGAGCGTCGGGTTTTCCACCGAAAACCGGGCGGAAAACGGATTGTTGTTTCGTCTGATGGAATAGGCTTTTCCTGGAAATCTCGCCCGATTTTGGGTGTCTAAGTTATAAAATTTCCCATCTCTACACCGACTAAAATCTTACTGAATTAGCGATTATTGATTTATTAGAATTATCTTGACCAATTTTGGGTTTCTAAATTATAAAATTTCCCATCTCCAGACCAACTAAAATCTTACTGAATTAGCGAAAGTATTGATTTATTTAGATAGTAACAATACATAAAAAATGATGTAATAGTTTGAGATTATTTGCTGAATTTAAATTAAAGTAGTATTTTTAATATTATACAGAGCGTAATGAATATCTCGCAGGAACAAACGCTTGTGCGAATTGACACGTCTATCGAAAATACATTACGAAATATCCAAAATAACTAAAAATATTCGAAATGTTTGTAAATATTATCGTTGGGAATTAATTTATTTCGCTTCGTTTATTCGCGTTAAAGCGATAATTGAACGGATATTTCTGCATAATGCCCGCGGCTGTTTGATTTATATTTTTTCCTGCTCCTTACTGATCTAAATTGGTCGCCAAATTGTAGATTTTAGATTTTAATCCTACCTAGGCAACTCTATTCTATTCTACTCTACACTGAATCTACTCCTAATTTACTTCGATTCCACTCTGAAATAATCTACTCATTTGAATCTACTTCAATATATCCCAAATCACCTTCAAATGTACTCTGAAACTACTTCGAGTTTACTCTGAATCTACTCTACTATGATTCTGAATCTACTCTACATACTCCTACTTAAATCTAATGTACTCTTACTTTACTCTGAATTTACTCTATTCATACTTACAATCTATTCTAAAGCAACCCGAATATACCCTAAATTTACTTTTAATCTACTCTGAATTTACTCTGAATCTACTCTGAATCTACTCCTACGCTAAATCTATAGATACTTTACACCTACTGAATCATATTGTACTGTTACTTTACTCTACTCCGAATCTACTATTATCCTACTCTACTCTTTTTTACTCAATTCCAATTCTACTCTGAGTCTACTCTACTGTACTTTGTTTCCGGATTTTTCAGAGGGGTTCGTTAAAAAATCCAAAAAAAAATTCAGAGCAATAAATTAACTAAAAGGTTTCAAATAATATTTTTTTCTGCGGCTTTGGAGGGTCCGCGAAGATGGTATAAGAATTTATGCAAACGCGGATTTGATGGAATAAATTCCAATCGATGACGACCTATTTATCACGAATTCACGACGGCCAGAGGGAAACAAAACGTTGATGGTTTGTATAATGGAAAATCGATGAGTCGGGGTGGTTATTATCTGTTCGGAAAAATCACTTTTGACTCGACTTGTATATACGATGATGCGCCGCCATTTTTCTTTTGTTGAATATTCATTTGCGTTGGTATTATAAAATAGAAAGGGTTTGTTATATGAATTCCTTTTTAATGAATTTTCTCGTTGTGTTTTTTCTGCACTAATTGGTATATTTTTTTTGCAGATTCGAAACGTGGAAAAAAGTCAAACATGCAATTTTTCCCTTTTAAAGGTAAGTTTATTTTTTTTTTGGAATTTCATTTACAGCGTTTTTACTTTGTATAAAAAATTTAATGGATTCACAAGGGTATAACTATAGTTTTTTTCTACAATTTTAATAACGAATCACTCTGTAGAAAAATTGGAAAACTTATTATGTTACTTTTTCTCTTGTTCCGATAATAGAGATTACCCTTAGGAGTTACGAAAAGTTTTTCCTCATCAAGGAATTTTGTTGGAAGTTGCCGGAAAAAGTTTCTTATTATATTACAATATCAACTTCAATTTCGCTCAGTACCTACAACATTTTATTTAGTGTATTTCTAAAAAAAATCAAAAGGTCTTATATGTATACAGGGTGTTACATTGAAAAAGAAACAAAGCTGTTAAATTCAGAAAAAGAAAACCTTTCTAATCAAGTATCACACGACCTATTTTCCCAATTAATTTTAATAGTTTATTTACATAAAAAAAATCTATTTCTACCTGGCATTTTCATTGGAACACCCTTTAAAATAGGAAGAAATTTAACCGCTGGAATTTTAGACAAGGCATATAGTATACCTATATTTATAGAAAAACCATAGGGATGAAACTACAAAAGCGCCAACCCGGATTAAACTTACAAGCGAAACGTTTTCTCTCGTCGCTTTTCGGTTCGTGTGTTGTTTTAATTAAGTTTCCCGGAAAATTCAATTTTCACGGCCTGCAATTTATAGATAAAACGCTGAAACTAATTGCCTTTTCGAACCGGTCACGCACACGACAAGCCATTAGTCTATCTCTTCGCCAAATTGCGAACGCATCGCGGAAAAAAATGTCTATTTGGCCTTTAGCAAATCTGTTGACCGGCCAATCGGTCAGTCAGCCAGTCTCGCCTGCAGGATTATATAAGGTGTTTTAATTAATAAGTGCGTGAAAGTTTAGGGGGTGATTTTGCGTGAAAAAATAATGATATTTTGCTATATAAATGTATGTTGGCCAATGCTTCGTTTTCGAGATACGGGGTGTTAAAGTTTCTTCTTAAAAATCGAAGATTTATTTATTTCTCTGGAACGAGACGAGATATTCAAATGAAATTTGGTGGGTTTTGAGAGGTAACTATTACGCATTTTTTGACGTAAAATTAAAAATTTTATGTTCATCATTGGCGCGCATACGGGTAATAATAAAAAAATTTTAAAGAAAAAAATAGTATTGGTACGCCACTGGGGCATTTTTATAAAAAATTCAATTATGAATGAATTCCTCGTTCAATTTGCGACAAAAAAACTCCCTTGTATTTTTTTCGTACGGGCCGCTGTTTTCGAGTAAAAAAATAAAACATCTTAACCTGTATTTTTCATTATCTAGTAGTGAAGAAACTTTAACACCCCGTATCTCGAAAACGAAGCATTTGCCAACATACATTTATATAGCAAAATATAATCATTTTTCCATACTAAATCACCCCCTAAAGTTTCCCGCACTTATCAATTACCACCTTCTATAATCCCGCAGGCGAAACTGCCTGACTGACCGATTAACCGATCGACTCTAATCGAAAACGCGTAGGCGTCTCGCCTAAACACTCGCGGTATCCGATAAATTGTATCCAACCTTTTCGCATCGCTTATAAACCCACCTCGACGGTGTCCCCCAGGTGCCCCCCAGGTGCCCGCGCCCGAGAGTAGGGCGAAACAATCTCCGCGCGAATTCGAATCCTCGCGACACTTCCACACTCGCACGCACGCCCGAACGTTTCGGTTTATTTATTTATTTATTTATTGTATTTTTTTCCCGTTGTGTTATGAAACGAGACCTGTCTGTCAGTTTAACCGGGCGGTATATATCTTATCTAGTTAACTATGCTCGTTCGTTTGTTTAGTAAAGAGCCCGTGCGTCAATCGAATAGCGTCGATCGCGTTTTCCATGTGGAATAATTGTTGTGTTGTTGGTTTAAAAAAAAAATTGGATAGGATATAAACACTGCTCGGTGCGGTTGGTTCGTTCGGGCAGTGTATAAAGGACTTGGGTTCGTTCGGGCAGTGTATAAAGTACTTGAGTTGGTTTTGGGCAGTGTATAAAGTACTTGAGTTGGTTTTGGGCAGTGTATAAAGTATTTGGGTTCGTTCGGGCAGTGTATAAAGTACTTGGGTTCATTTAGGCTGTGTATAAAGTACTTGGGTTGGTTTTGGGCAGTGTATAAAGTACTTGGGTTGGTTTGGGCAGTGTATGAAATACTTGGGTTGGTTTGAATAAATGTTTTCGATGATGGAATAGAACGAAATGGAGTCGTTGATGGACGATGCGGTGATAGAAGAGGAAATTGAAGATGGTAAGTGTAAGTTTTTAATGTTAAAATACCTAAAATTGATGGATCTGTAAAAGGAGCTAATGTACAAAACGAAACAATAACGCGAAAGAGAAGTTTTACGACGTTAATTCTCGCTAGAATGTGCGCTATTAAATAGCGTTAACGTTCGGTTTATACGCAGAGCCGTTCGTGAATTATTTTCTGGGACAATCTGTATAGAAGTCTTTTGTGGAATTGTACGGCATCTCTTTCTTTACAAAGGAGGCTTTTTAAAGTCTTCGTTTTATTGTTTTGCATTTTTCAATTTGTTCTTCTTTTTAGATTTTCGAGGGGATCCTTTTGAAAAACGTTGACAAAAGGAAGTCTTTGATAAATATTTCTTAAACAAAAAAAATACCCAATAATCTAAGAGTTATTTCATTATATCGAAACAAAAAAAAGTAAATATAAAAGATTATTATCTGCTTGCAAATAAATATTGCCGGTTTAATTTAATGAAATTTCTCGTTTAATTGAAAACCACGCCACTGGAAACCCGTAAATTTTCATTTTCTTAAGGTTATTAAATAGCAATAACGTTATTGAAATAGGTAGAGTCGTAAAACTAGGCGGTGAGATTTAATATACATCATTATTACCGGCATAATAATATTCGTTACGATTCCACTAACAATAATATCCCATAATAATCCTTTTAATATTCAATTACCGATCCGGATATGACCGTTCTCGATAATTCCGTTTCGAACGGATTATTTCGTTAAAATAGCAGAATTCGTCAGAGGAAATTTAACACGTCCAATGCCAAACTAATGAATGAATTCATTTTTTCAGTGTGATTAAAAACCCAGAAAAGTTCAAATTTTGTTGTATTTTTCAAATTGAATTTAGTTCTGTCGACATAATAAAAAATAGGAGATTGAATTATACAAACATTAACTGAGAAAAATAATGTATCTATTACCTACATATAAAAAAATTCCTACACAAAGAAAAGTCGCTACTTGTACAATACAGAATTAAAATAGCAGAATTCGTCAGAGGGAATTTAACACGTCCAATACCAAACTCACTAGATTTATTACTGTAGTAATAATATAATAATAATAATAATAATAATAGATGGTCATACAAATGTATGGTGCAAGTTGGTAATATGTACTGTAAATAGTAAATCTGTGGAGTTTCTGGTAACATTATAGACATTAAAAAAGTCCCTAGATGCATGAACAACGCTGAAAAGTTCATATTTTGTTGTATTTTTCAAGTTGAATTTAGTACTATCAACAGTATAAAAAATTGGAGATTGAATTATACAAACATTAACTGAGAAAAATAATTAATCTATTACCTACATAGGAGTATAAAAAAATTCCTACACACAGAAAAGTCGTTACTTGTACAATACAGGGTGACATTCTTTTTCTTTTTGTACAAAAACCAACTGTTGAATACACTCTAAGTAATTTTTAAAGGTGCGATAAATTCGGCAAGCGTATAATCTAGGTATAGGTGAATGAAAATTTTATTTGGAAGAGAACGGGGCTCGAGCGAGGGTAAACGAGGTCAGGGCTATATTAAAGCCTCTCCCGCCTATCGTCAATCTCGAATTGATCGTAGGTATATCGCGGATTCATTTCGGCTTATACAGGGCGATGTTTATCCGCACGAACAATAATTTATTTCGCGGTGAAAACTTGGCGAAATGAACGGGAAAAGAACCGGTTAATTTCGATACACTAAATGACAATGGCATAACATAATGATATTTTGCTATATAAATGTATGTTAGCAAATGCTTCGTTTTCGAGATACGGGGTGTTAAAGTTTCTTCTTAAAAATCGAAGATTTATTTATTTCTCTGGAACCAGACGAGATATTCAAATGAAATTTGGTGGGTTTTGAGAGGTAACTATTACGCATTTTTTGACGTAAAATTAAAAATTTTACGTTCATCATTGGCGCGCATACGGGTAATAATAAAAAAATTAAAGTAAAAAAATAATATTGATACGCCACTGGGTCATTTTTATTGAAAATTTAATTATGAATGAATTCCTCGTTCAATTTGCGACAAAAAAACTCTCTTGTATTTTTTTCGTACGGGCCGCTGTTTTCGAGTAAAAAAATAAAACATTTTGACCTGTATTTTTCATTATCTAGTAATGAAGAAACTTTAACACCCCGTATCTCGAAAACGAAGCATTTACTAACATACATTTATATAGCAAAATATAATCATTTTTCCATACAAAATATAGGTTATAAATGTAGGTATATCGCGGATTCATTTCGGCTTATACAGGGCGATGTTTATCCGCACGAACAATAATTTATTTCGCGGTGAAAACTTGGCGAAATGAACGGGAAGAGAACCGGTTAATTTCGATACACTAAATGACAATGGCGGCTCGTTTACGAGATCGCCCTATTTGGTAAAAAAGAAATTCTCTCTTGTCGTTAGGTTTTGAGGCGATCGGTAATCGGTAACGGTGTCAGTCAAGAACGAAAGTGACGGAATTTATTGAATCGTTATCTCGAAACAATGCTTTCTACTCGGCCTTTGGTGGAAATCGAAGAAAAACCCCGCACAAAAGGATTCTTCCTCGTTTTATTTTTTTTTGTTCTTTTTACTTTAAATTAGTTTGTTGTTTGTCTTTATAGGAAATGTATATTCCCTATATAGAAAGCGACGTTTTGTTTAATTATAATTATCGTTCGTTTATTCGATACACGTTAATTATATTATCGTTTATCGAATCTAATCTGTTCGTAATAATCGTAATTCGAGTTATTTATAGATATTTTTATTTTCTTCCTAAAACGATTCGGTCTAATTTAGAACGATTATTTAAATCGATTCGTTGATTAGAATCGATTACACACCGTTCCTTTCGCAGAACGCGAATTTCACAGACCACAACTTGATCTACCCCAACGTTTCTTCATAATCATCTTCATAATCTGCATAATCTACTTCATAATCTTCTTTATAATCTACTTCATTATACAGGGTGTTAATTAATTGTTTGCCGATACTTCAGGATGTCAATATTTGGATGATTTTAAGAAGAAAAGTTTATATCAATGTATGTCCTAAACCTCTTAGTTTTCGAGCTACAGGGTGTTACAATTTAAAAAAAAAAAAATAATTTTTCTATCATAATTTTCTTATTACTCCAGTTATTTTTAAGAGATTTTGTATACACTTTTTAATTATTAAGGAGCATGTTTTGAGTCGTAAGATTTTTTTAAATTTTCACCAGTGACGTCCGTACGGGGTTTGAACTGAATATGTTTGAAAAAAAAAATGTTACACCACTGCTTTTTCTAAAAACTAAAATTATTTTTAATATCCTCATTTATTTTGTAGCAAATTCTGCCAGAAGACTTATTTTCGTACGACGCACCATTTTCGAGTAAAAAAATAAAAACCAAAACCATTTTTTCCCAAGTTTATTTTGAATCTGCTTTTGATATTTTGTTGAAATTTGATAGGCGCCCACCATGCATGAAAACACGTTTTTTTGGGGAAAAAAATAATTTTCTACTATTATCAGTGACGTCCACGTTCGAAATTTCATAAAAATATCTGCTGTAATAAGAAAATTATGATAGAAAAGTTTTTTTTTCTAAAATATTAATTCCCTGTAGCTCGAAAACTAAGAGGTTTAGGACATACATTGATATAAACTTTTCTTCTTAAAATCATCCAAATATTCACATCCTGAAGTATCGGCATTCAATTAATTAACACCCTGTATACTCCACAATCTCCTTCGTAATCTTCTTCATAACCTTCTTCATAATCTTCTTCTTAATAGTAACATTTATTACGCTCGGATCCTTCTGCATGCGATTTCTTTAACTCCTCCGAGGATTCGAGTTAATCAATCACTCAATTAATTCCGCATATAGAGCTTTATATTACTGCTACGATAAGTAAGATTTTTATTAAAATACTTTTCGCGTTTTTCATTTTATTACGGTAAAAAAAATTTAATAAAATACGTCCGTTTCCGTAATTAGTTTTTCCGAGTTTTTTTTTTTTTTTCGTTCGCGTGCTTTCCACCGGGGAAAAACCGAGCGTATATTTGAAATATCGCGAGTACACTCCAACAGCATTTTATTATTATTAAAATCTCTCGGACGACTCGTCGAATCGCCCTCGTAGATGGAAATGCCATCGCCTTGAAAAGGCGCGTTCGAGCGCCGAATTTTTATCTCTCGAAACTCGAATAAATTTGTACATTATGTTACATTATGTAATATTCATTACGCAACGAATGTGCAACGGCGAGTTCGAAACATTATCGTCATTATTATTAACGAAATCTTCGTGCATGCAAAATCGCCCTCGATCGAGCGTCAGATTCAATTCACTAGCCCATCGCATTGTTATGGTAATGTTAGATATAGAATAATGGCTTTCTCTGTACGTTAAAAAAGATCGATTTGCTCCACTTACCGGGGCCGCTCGATATCTACCGGGCTGTTCTTATTCTACGAGGGTACCTCGAAAATTAGTGGAATACGAGGGGCGTGAGATAACTCGATATTTCGCCTCATATTCGAGTCCAGTTTTTATTCCAAGAGCGTTGTTAACTCAAAAATTAGTGGAATACGAGGGGCGTGAGATAACACGATATAATTTGCCTCACTTACGAGGTCTGCTCGATATATTCGAGTCCAGTTTTTATTCTAAGAGAGTTGGTAACTCGAAAATTTGTGGAATACGAGGGGCGTGAGATAACACGATATAATTTGCCTCGCTTACGAGGTCTGCTCGATATATTCGAGTCCAGTTTTTATTCTAAGAGGGTTGTTAACTCGAAAATTGGTGGAATACGAGGGGCGTGAGATAACACGATATAATTCGCCTCGCTTACGAGGTCTGCTCGATATATTCGAGTCCAGTTTTATTCCAAGAGGGTTGTTAACTCGAAAATAGGTGGAATACGAGGGGCGTTAGAGATGTATATATTTCCGGAACGGTTCGAGGAATTTTTTTTTCGCTTGTTTTATTCGGTTTTCGGGTCGCGAGGCGGCTGTGGAAGAATTCGAATTATTTTTCCGATAAATGTGTTTGCGTACGATCGGCGTTGAATATTAAAACACGGTGACCTTTGCCGAACGTACGGTTTCTCAACTCGATTATATCTATAAATAGTGGTCGATTGAGCAAGAATATAAGGAGCAAAACAAATTGGTAAATTGGTTTGCGCCGGCGAGAGAAAAGTAACATTAGGTTTATATTAAAAAAAAATTATTTTACGAACCGTTTTTTTTTTAATTTGTTTAATCCTCGGCTTGCGTCAGATATATTCGAATTTATTTCGTACTAAACGGGTATAAATAATATCTTACAACACCCGTATTTTCGTATTTACCATTCATTATTATCAGCTCATTAGAATAACTGTTTATGTGATTTATCTCGCTGATAGCGCGTAGGTTACGCTAAAATCGATTTGCATAGAATAATAACACACTGTTGTTAACTTTAAACAGGTATTCACTAAATAACAATATTTATTATTTATTATATACCTACTACCGACAAATACATACACTTCAATTATCTATTTACTTGGAATAATTAACATACAAAGCTAACAATACAAAGTGGCTGAATAGTCCTTATGGTTGTGGCATTGTTAATGGGGGAAAAAAAGAAGAAGTATAATCGGTACTTCACGGATTAATTTGAGGTAATTGACAGCCGGTTTTTTTCTGTTTAAGTTGGAAAGTTTGGTTATTATGTGAAATAAATAATTCTGATTAATGATAGAGCTAAATGGTGGAAAGCTTTTTATCAAATTTCGTCGAGTATAGGCGGTGGAAAAATAGGGGATAATGAAGAAAAACGGTTCATGCTAGATTTTTCACATCGGAATGAAATTTATAACGTGTAGAAAATGTAAAGCACCTGGATATATATCGGAAAAACCCTTTGGCCTAATGGATGAAAATGGAAAACAACAACAAAAAAAAAGTATATCGCGAGTGTTTTATCAACCGGAGGTTTTGTTTTATCATCATATATACACGGCTGTTTTTCGACGGGCCCAATTTCGTTTTCATTACGTTTTCCATTATCATAAAGGCGAGATAATGGAAGCGGCGAGGACTGTTTAGAGCTGTAAAAATACTCTTAACGCGATGATTACGAGTAAAATTGATTTTTCCGGACGCGCCGGTGGGTTTTCACGTTTTCGCCGTTGTCCCGTTTTGCGATACAAAATTTTCCAGTTATTGAATTTTTTAATTTCCAGATACTACGAGGAGCGTTCTGCATAGGAAAAGTTCGCTGGCTCTAACACCGGAAGAGGAACCGTTAGAATTGCATGTAAGTCTTTTAAAAATCCGAGTGAAATATACAGATAAGTGCTGATTAGTTTGCACAATGTCAGTTCTACGAGTTGAACAAAGATGAGTACAAAAATAACAGTGGTTTAAAGTGAGAAAGTTGCAATAATATTCTTTATTTTTACCTTTATGTGAGAGTAATGGAGTAATCTTTTGTTGCACCGATTGAGTACAAATTTGCACCTATCTGTATAATTCTGTTGCTGGGGAAGTTTGCCAATGTGGTCAGTTCTACGAGTTGAACAAAGATGGGTACAAAAATGAAAGTGGTTTAAAGTGAAAGAGTTGCAATATTATTCTTTATTTTTACCTTTATGTGAGAGTAATGGAGTAATCTTTTGTTGCACCGATTGAGTACAAATTTGCACCTATCTGTATAATTCTGTTGCTGGGGAAGTTTGCCAATGTGGTCGGTTCTACGAGTTGAACAGAGATGGGTACAAAAATGAAAGTGGTTTAAAGTGAGAGAGTTGCAATATTATTCTTTATTTTTATCTTTATGTGAGAGTAATGGAGTAATCTTTTGTTGCACCGGTTGAGTACAAATTTGCACTTATCTGTATAATTCTGTTGCTGGGGAAAGCGGGATGAAAACGTCTACTTTTGGGAAAAGGGATTGACTACCTACCTTGAATTTCCGCCGGTAATTTACCGGACGGACCGGAATCTTTTTTTTATTCATTTAGAATTTCGAATGCGAACCTTTTTTTCCCGTTTTAGCAGAGCCTATTTAGGTATTACGTGAAATTTCGATTCGATTTGGGATGGAACGTAAAATTTACCCTAGTTATAAGCGAAATTCTATGCGAAAGATAAACACGAAACTTTTCGGAAGTTCGGGAAATTGCGGTCCTACTTCAACAATTACAATTCCACAAGTTGCCTGAGTTTCGTGCCCAATAATGAGACCGTGCCGGAATTATCCCACTTCTGATTTTCACAAACTCCCGTTCTCCTTCGACTAGTTTGTTGACTCTATAATTTTTTCGTTTGCAAAACATTCAAGGGCATCAGCAACAAGTTGAAATAACTATTTTAACTCGTTTAACCAAACACAACTTCATTTACTCTATAAAAACTGCCTCTATTCACTCACTTTTTCGTCTCTAACCTTTTAAACACTGCAGCAACAAGTCGTAAAAAAACTACACTACAACTATCCCACTTCTGATTTTCACGTAAACTCCATTTCCCGATTAACTAAACACAACTTCATTTACTCTATAAAAAACTCTCTCTATTCACACACTTTTTTCCTCCCCTAAACTTTCCAACGCCACAGCAACAAGTCGTAAAAAACTACCCCTGCAATTATCCCACTTCTGATTTTCGCATAAACTCCATTTTTCCTCTAATCACGGTAAAAAAACCCGGCTCTATTCACTATACACACAGTTTTATTACGAAAGTTTTCCCACTATCCACTTTCCATCGGCGCAGCAACAAGTAGCTCTATGATTACCTACCTCAAAACTCCCAGAAGCGCTGTTTCGGGCAACTTTACGGGGTAGTTACGTTGAGCGAAAATGATAAAACCTCCCTCTATTAGGTACACACCAACTTTCCATTATGCCGAAGTTACTACAAGCATCGTTGGAAAAACTTAGCGGAAACTCATTAGCTAATTTAATACAACGAAATAGAATCGGCTGACAAAAAAAAAGGAGATTTCCCGTGCGATTAGCGCATCCTCGGAAAAACCCCCGGTAATCGAAAAAGGTTTTCCCCGCGTATATACCTTTGAAGTCCCGTCGTGGGTGGCCGGGGAAAAAAGGGATTTCCCAACAAAAAGTTCGTTTAATTCGCAAAGTAATAAAACAGGAATCAGGACGAATCCAGGACACGACGGCGGTTTTATTTGTAGCGTTTGATGTAATTTTTTTAACACGTCCAACGCCCTCTATCATCCCCTCGAATCGATTGAATAAATATCTAATATCGAATCGTCTCCCAACAAAAAAAAAGGGAATTCGAAGGAAGGGAGAATTTTATTATTTATCTTCATCAGGATGATTGTTTGCGCTTCTTTCTTATACCTCGACGTTTCCTCGTTAATAATTTATACTAATAGTCCATCCTATCCAATTTCAGCAGGAATATTTCGGCAGGAAAACTCCCGGAAAACTCCCCCATATCTTCCCCCATTCGCATGTGTAACTTCTTACCGCACGTCCTTACTTGTTAAGTTAATTGTTATAGGAAGGACACGCGCTGGAAATTAGAGTTTTTTTTTTGTCGTTATACAGGAAAAATTGCGCAGGAATATTTGGAAATTTCAATTTAATATGTAGTCTAGAATATGAGAAACTCACCTGTAAGTAATCCGATTTCCAAGCGAATCGATTTAGCGATATACAGGGTGGCATATTAGTAGAGAAAAGCTCAATCTACCACGAAAATTCAGAACTCACTGTATAAATATAATTAATTTTAAAACATGCACAAATTTTGTATATACAAGTTTTTTTGGATCTCCTATAATTACTGAGCTTTTCACGCTAACGTGCCACCCTGTATATATAGCTATATTTAAGTTTAGCGCCGAAATCGGAAAGGTTTGCCCTCGGTGTCTTTGTCCTAAACCTTATCTAGTTCGGGCCCTTCGGCTCGATTGAGCGGGTTTCTCGCCCAACAGGTGAACTTTCGCAGGAATAAACCGGTCCGAGGAAATTCTCTAATAATCCGGGTTTTTTTATAAGATCAGGCCGGCGCCGGTTTTTCTATCATGAAATTGGAGAGGCTAATGGGATTGGGGGCGGTCGAAGAAAATTCGGTTGAAAGTATTGAAAAATTGCATGTTGGTTGAAGAAATTGAAAGGCAGGATTTTTAGTTGGAACTGGATGGAAGATGAAATTGTTGTTGATGGAAAGAGCTACAAAATAGCTAGATGGATGAAGAAATTAAAGTTATTTCTAGTAGAAGAAAGATGAAAAAAGATAATAGAATGTTCGATTGAAAAATTTGGTTGAAGGAATTGAAAAATTGTTGGAAGAAGAAGAAATTAAACGTGAGAGGTTTTAAAAGGGAAATTAGAAAGTTTGGTGTAATTAGGAAAGGTTAGAACAAGATATAGCAAGATGGATCAAGAAATTAAAGTTATTCCTAGTAGAAGAAAGATGAAAAAAGATAATAGAATGTTCGATTGAAAAATTTGGTTGAAGGAATTGAAACATTGCTGGTAGAAGAAGAACAAATTAACGGTGAGAGTTCGTAAGGGAAATTACAAAGTTCGTAGCAATTGAGTAAACTACGAAAGCTTCTCATCATTTTCTATCATCACTAAAATATCAGAATTATCCCTTTCGACGCGACCATCAACACAATCAATCAAAAACCCGAGCAATCTATCAATACATTACACCAATATCTCAACGCTATCTAACTACAAGCACTTAACAGCTACTCGAACAACGAAATAAAACCAGATAAAATGCGGAATCTGGTCGCGAAACAAGCCCGATTCTCCACCGCTATCGCCTCTAATATAATCAATCAGTCGAATTCATCGATATCTTATCGAAGCGATAACCGTTCCGCGATTAATTCCTCGACAATCCGAGCTCGGATCAGTTTCGAATCGAAAAAAGATGGACACCTGCGAGCGTTGTGGCAGCCTCCTGGCCGGCAACCATTCCACGAGGATCCTCCGCAGGACCGATACAGGTAGAAGAGAACATTTCTTTAACGATTGCTCACCAGCTCGAGCGAATAATTTCTTGTTTGCCGGTGGCCCGAAGGCAGCGCCGGGGAGTGCTGGTGGAGGCGGGGCTGTTGCCGGTGGTTCGGGCGCGAGGAATCGGGCGATTTGGGCGGCATCGAGGCGACCGACGAGGCCGCCCAAGGGGTGTACGTCCGCAGGAAGACCATCCATTTCGATTTGGACGCTTTGGTGTTGAACAAACCGGCGCACAATGAGTTTAATAGCAAACCGAAATCGACGGTGTCTATACTCAAATTGAAGAATAAGGTAGGGGTGGTTTTTGGAATGATATTTGATCTTCCTGTAATAGCGAGTGTGGAATTCGAAGATGAAGAAAATGAGATTATGAGGTGATGATCTTCTACTACTGATTTTTATAGTATCATCAGGATTGTAGAAAAATATATCGTAATTTCGAAAAGGTTTGTTTATCGTAAGTTCGTTCGAGATAAAAATTCAATTAGATCTGTTTTTTTTTGTACTAAAAACTTGTACTAGAAAAATAAAGAGATAAAATCGAATACATCGAAGTTACAACAAATTCCAAAATGCATTATCTTCGATGCTGCAACTAAAAATAGTTAAACTCTATAAATACTTTAAAGTGTTATCATTTTTGCATCTATCAGTATACATAGTGTTCCAGATTTCGTACTAACAAAAAGGCGAGTAATGTTTTGATTTATATCTTTTGCGCCTTTCGAATGCGACTTTTAAAATTAAATTCGCAACTTTCGCAAAAGAAAGAGGAATCGTAACGTAATTACATTTACCCAAAAAGCATCAAAACGCTTACATTCGTAAAATCCCAAATTACTTTGTCGTAATCGTTACAGTATCCGCTTTAATTAATTCCAGAAAGGCGTGCAGGAAACGAAGCTCGGACAAATCGTACCTCCCAGTCGAAGTTTGAAAGTAAGTATAATTAAAAAAGTGTGATGATAATTACTCTCTTTATACGATATTTCAATCTATCTGCTCGTTTGATTTAAGGCTTTGATCGTGTTCCCGACGCTCGACCAAGCCGCCGATACCATCACCAAAGCCTGCGAGAGATTGGGTTTCGAATTGACTTCCTCCAACGCCGATAATTCAGCTCTCGAGGAATACCAGCAGAAATTACACGATCTCGTCGTCGTCGATACCAGATTACCCAAAAGCCTCAACTACGACACTTTATGTCGGTGAGTCCTTTGAAATAATTTACTATTCTCTAAGGTCCATTCGTTCGTGGTCCTTTGAGTATTTTAAGATGGTCCATGAGCTGTTCTTATATGTTTTTTTTGTTCACTCTTTCAAGGTTTATGGTCCATGATCGTTCATAAATGATTTATGGTCCATTCTTAGAAGGTTTATGGTGTTTATAAGGTTCCTACGATTATTCATACACGATCCATGGTCCTATCTTACAAGGTCCATAGTTTTTTCTCTAGTAGTATTCTCTAAGGTCCATTCTTTCATGTTCCTTTGACTAATTTTAGATGGTCCATGAGCTGTTCTTACATGGTTTTTTGTTCACTCTTGCAAGGTTTATGGTCCATGATCGTTCATAAACGATTTATGGTCCATTCTTAGAAGGTTTATGGTGTTTATAGGGTTCCTATGATCATTCATACACGATCCATGGTCCTATCTTACAAGGTCCATAGTTTTTTCTCTAGTAGTATTCTCTAAGGTCCATTCGTTCATGGTCCTTTGACTGATTTTAGATGGTCCATGAGCTGTTCTTACATGGTTTTTTGTTCACTCTTGCAAGGTTTATGGTCCATGATCGTTCATAAACGATTAATGGACCATTCTTAAAAGGTTTTTTGTCTTTATAAGGTTCCTAGGATCATTCATACACGATCCATGGTCCTATCTTACAAGGTCAATAAGTCTTTCTTACAGAGTTTTCGGTCTATTAGGAGATTCATAGTCCCTTCTGTAGAAGGTTCATGATCTAAGATCATTCATGCACGATTTATGGACCATTCTCACAAGATTTTTATCCTTTTCTTATACCCTCTATGATTATACATGAACCATGTTCCTTTCTTACAAGGTTCATGGTCTATAAAATCATTCCTATACTTTATTCATGGTCTATTCTTGCAAGATTAAAGGTCCATTTTTACAACGTCCAAGATCCAATCTTTCTTTAAATATATCTTTTACTTACTTATTTCCTAATTTTACCGTGGAGGTTTTAAAACACCCTTAAAGTTTCTAAATTTTATTTAACACTTTTTAACTATCAATTTCTAGTATAAACGTTTGTAAAAGTATAATGTAAAATGCCCGATGTGCTTTCCCCCACATCTTGGCGAACGTTAAAGGGATTGTCCCCGACGAAAGATAACATATAATGGAAAGCTCGCCGAGTAAATAGGATTTATCGGGAGAATATCGCAGGAACAAAGGCTCATATTTCCCGACGTTTACGAAACGGGGCGCGTTTTGTGTAGCATCGGAAACGGGTTATTTTTTCGAAAAGAAGGAAAAGTTCCTCGAGCACCATCGGATATTCGATTTTCGTACACGATGCCCGAGCGAATGGAAATAATAAGCGGCTTATGACAACGAAAATGATTTCTCGAAGGACCCAGAGAGAAAAAAATATTCAACCTCTTATCAACTTATTTGTTGTTCGGTATTAAAATGGTCGCCTTTCGTTAGATTAAATCCGACCGGGGCTTATTTCGTATGCGATTCCAATTATGCAAATTGAAGGAAAAAAAAAGTATACCGAAGAAACAAAAGTGGAGCGCTCCGCGACCCCGGAGGAATTTTTCAATTAAGATGTTTCTTTTTCTGAAGGGCTTCATCTTGTCGGAATTTTACTCGGGTAATTTTTTTTTTTTGTATGCGAATGCGATTCTTTTGTGTTAATAACTGGAATTCGCCGTGTGGAGCGACGTTAATTAATACTGAAAAATTTCGGGGGAAAAAATTCCTCCCTTCGCTCCGTTGTGATATTAATTACACCGTCGCGAAAACGCCCTATTAATTCCCTTCGCTCGAGGCCGTTATCTCCTTATTGAGTACCTGAAAGGGTTCCGAGTCAATTCATCTTCCTTTCCTAATGCGCTCAAAGAGAAACCGAAATTACCTGCACACCCTGTATATGTTAGATGTTGGACCGAAATCGATTTCTACACATAGAACATCAAACGGGATTTAGGTGGAATTTTATTGCATGCATCAATCGCAACATCTTTATTATCCGCGCCATTTTACAGCCGGATAGAAATCTCAAAGGCAATCGAAAGCGGGGCTCTTTATTATATTGGCACGATTGCCCGGAATTTATTGCCGCTTTCCAATTCTCCTCTCCATTAAATATCCATACACCTTTCTATATTCCAGGTTTACTAGTTTTCGATGCGTTTCGAAATTTAATTAAATACCTCTTATTTTTTTTTGGTGGACTTGTTTCATATTCTTGTGTTGCTTTAATAGGTTATTGAGGATGTGGATGATTTTAAGAAGATTTTCTTAAATATATCCGAAATAATAGGAAAATTGTGATAAAAAAGTAATTTTTTTTCTAAAATTATAACAACCTGTAGCTCGAAAACTAAAAGGTTTTAGGATATATAGGGTGTTAAATAATTGAATGCCGATACTTCAGGATGTGAATATTTGATTGATTTTAAGAAGAAAAGTTTATATCAATGTATGTCCTAAACCTCTTAGTTTTCGAGTTACAGGGTGTTAAAATTTTAGAAAAAAAAAACTTTTTTATCATAATTTTCTTATTACTCCAGTTATTTTTAAGAAATTTTGTATACACTTTTTAATTATTAAGGAGCATGTTTTGAGTCGTAAGATTTTTTAAAATTTTCACCAGTGACGTCCGTACGGGGTTTGAACTGAATATGTTTAAAAAAAAAATGGTACACCACTGCTTTTTCTAAAAACTAAAATTATTTTTAAAATCCTCATTTATTTTGTAGCAAATTCGGTCAGAAGACTTATTTTCGTACGACGCACCATTTTCGCGTAAAAAAATAAAAACCAAAACCTTTTTTTTCCAAGTTCATTTTGAGACTGCTTTTGATATTTTGTTGAAATTTGACAGGCGCCCACCATGCATGGAAACACTTTTTTTGGGGATTAAAATTAATTTTCTACTATTATCAGTGACGTCCACTTCGAAATTTCATAAAAATATCTGCTATATTATATGAAAAGTTTTTTTTTCTATAATTTTAACACCCTGTAGCTCGAAAACTAAGAGGTTTAGGACATACATTGATATAAACTTTTCTTCTTAAAATCATCCAAATATTCACATCCTAAAATATCGCCCCTCAATTAATTAAAACCCCGTTCATTTCGAAGGTAAATTTTATTTGCATTAAATTCTTATCGTGTTCGACCTCCCGGGAAATCGTTTGGTAATTCCCCGAAGGAGATATTTACCGTTATTTCGGTTATAACGAGCCCTATCCCGCGAAAATGCCGCTTTTATTCGCCGATATTTCCACCTATTTTTACTTTTCCCAATGCTGTTGCTCGCTCACTTGTTGCTGCTGTATCGATTGGACAACTCTCCTGCGCTCGTCCTGCTACAGCGGCCTCGAATTCCACTCCAAACCCCATTCGAAACTCTACTTTTAATCGCTCTTCTCCCAAAAATCCTCGCTTTAAAACTCTCATTTTCCTCGCCTATGGAAAATACACCAACAACAAAAAATAACGATATTGTTTTCGAATCGTAGCAACTAATTGGGCGACGACCGCAGGCCGAATCCTGCTAATTGCCATTAATTAAATCCCACAGGAGCGCCTCCGGAAACGGCCGATTGTAGCCTCTCTGTCATTCCCCCTTGTATTTATCGATACGAGGGGCGTTCGCGAATTACCGGCGAAACAACAGGTAGGTCGTATCGGGAAGATATTGGAGCGTAAACGAACGTAAAGTACGGGGCGTTATTGCGTGGTTTCGGTCCGTAAACGTCGGCCTTTTACTGTCCCAGCGGACGGTAAATTAGAAGTAATTTTTTTTCTATTTGTTTCAGATCGATACGGAACACCAAAGGCAATCAACATACCGTCGTCGTGGCCGTTGTCAAAAGAAGGTGAGTGGCTGGATCGCTTTGTTAGTAAGAGGCCAGGGGGTGATTTGATTTGACAGTTGACAGGAATATTATGCGTTTTGTGTTGTTATGACAGTTGATTTGTGTTTCGCTCGAGTGGGGAATAAGAAAGAAGCAGAACGAGCGGGGGAAAAATGAAAATGTTAATAAACAGGAATAATTCATCGACTGTTTTATCGAATGACAATCGGAATTTATTTCGAATAGCACGCGAACTTTTGTAAATATAAGTGGGTTAATTAGATTTTTTTTTAATTTACAGCGCGTTCGAAAAAGATGATAACACGATAGTGTCTTTGCTGGAATCAGGTTACAATAGGGTGAGTTTTTTTTGCTGCTATTTTGTTTGACTTTATGCCATTTCCTTTAGCCGTTTTTATTGCGAATGTACACATCATAATGCCGTTTATACCTACGGATTTCGCTTTGCTTGACGCGAATATTCCGGTTAAATGTACATTTACATTTCGATAATATTCAGAACAAACGGATTCTACTAAAGCGCATCGTCGCTACCATAGAAATGTTCTTATTGTACATTCGCCTTCTCGTCTATCGATTTTCCCGAGTTAATTATTCGAACAATGACGATTATACAGCCTGTTGTTTCGCTTCGCGATTTCCCACCGCCGTCGACGATTCAACAGGTTTCATTCGGTTTTAATTCATCACTCGATTCCTTCGCGCCGTCTACTCGACCGGAATAAACCGGCAATTTTCCCATTTTCCATCACATTTGGCTAATTTTTCTCAGTGTTATTTTTTTTTTGGTTGTTTGGCATATTTTTTTCCCAGTGTATAGTGGAGACTGCGAATATCGTGGCGTGCGTTAACGAGATGATCATGCTGAGGCACAGCGATGTTAGACCGATGGCCAATCAGGCCACCACCCAGGGGCTCTATTCGGCGTTGGATAGATGTAAAGACGTCGTCGTGATAACCGATGACAATTACAAAATCCAGGTAGGCGTCGTTAAACGTTTAGGGGGATTACCGGAGGCCACAGAAATGTGCCTATATCTTCCTAAATCAGTCGATTTTTCAGATGATCTTATCTATTTCTCTTTCCTCTCCTTCCCTCATCTATTTCCCTCGCCACATCTCTTTCCCGCATCGCTTTGCCTCAACTCATCTCCCTTTACCTCATCTCTTTCCCTCATCTCTTTATCTCACCTCATCTCTTTCCCTTAAGTCTGTACCTCACCACATCTCCCTTTACCTCATCTCTTTACCTCACCTCATCTCATTCCCTTATCTCTTTACCTCACTACTTCTCTTTACCTCGTCCCTTTCCCTCATCTCATTACCTCACCTCATCTCTCTTTACCTTATTTCATTCCCTCATCTCTTTACCTCACCCCTTCTCTTTCCCTATCTATCAGATAAACCTTCTTCCTCTCGTGTTACTCCTACATTTGAACCTCCGTATAAAAAAAAACTGTCTAAACCGCGACAATTTATTCGCAGTACGTGAATCGAGCGTGCGAAAAACACCTGGGCATCAGGCAGGACGAGGCTTTAGGTAAGACGGTGCAGGACCAGCTCATACTGGATCCGGTGCAAGTCGGTTCGATCGGTTCCTCGTTGCTGAGAGGTAAGGAATGGCAGGGTAACGTTACGCTCAAGAAGAAACCCCTGGATACTATACTGGCTTCGTGCAAAGCGGCTCCGTTCGCTTGCGCAGGACGGTGAGTGGTTTGTCGAAATGGGGGCGAATGGTTTGAAGTGGAAGTCCCGTTTTTTTGTTGCAGGATTCCCACGCATTTCGTAATGGTGTTCGATTTGAACCCGTCGGAAACGTTGAACACGCTGCAACAGTCCAGGGGCAGCATACATTCGCTCAGAAGGGGTTCGACGGACGTCAGGAGCGTCGGTAGCGATTTCCTGCGGAGGACGTCTCTGGCCAAATTGAACGCCTTGCCACTCGAGGCGCCCATCACAAAGGTTTCTCAATTACCGCGCGATCGATCGATTTGTTAATTTCGTTTAATATTCAGGTAGTAAGTCTGATCGATCAAGCGCGCGAGCACTCCAACCAGAACCCCGCCATTGTCCAATTACTGGACAAAGTCGAGGATATATTGAAGAGTTCCGAACTGTACTCGACCTACGTGAAGGAGGATTTGCGGATCAAATCCGACGAGCCGGTCGTTTCCGATTTAATCACCGCCTTGTTATCGGTAAGACGCTACAATCTGTTAGTACAAAACGAAATTAATTCGTCTATCCGATGCTCAGAAACAACCTCAACCGACGCTGAGCGGCTCGTCCAGGCGCAGCAGCAACGACTCCTCGGTGTTCCGGCAATCCAGAAGCGGCTTACCGAAGGTCTTTTACTTCCCATCTTTATCTTCTACTTACACCTTAATCGCTCGGGTTATATTTCGCAGGCTCCGGCCGTCATCAAGGACCTGCTCGACACCTGTCTATCGTGGGACTTCGACATCTTCCGGCTCGAAGACCTCACCGGCCACCGGCCGCTCCAGTACCTCGGCATGACCCTCTTCCATCACTTCGACGTCGCCAACGTGCTCAATTGCGACGAGAAGACCCTCCACAATTGGCTCACCGTCATCGAGGCCAACTACCACAGCGAGAACACCTACCACAACAGCACCCACGCCGCCGACGTCATGCAAGTAAGTCCACTCATCCTCATCCTCATCCTCATCCTCATCCTCATCCTCATCCTCATCCTCATCTTTAGCTTCAACATCATCCTCATCCTCATCTTCATCCTCCTCAGCCTTCCTATTCTCCTCTGCCAATCGTCCAAAGTCAGAAGAGCCCTACATTAGGAAATGCAAAGGTTAAAGGACTCATCTTGATCTTAAAGCTTGCTTCTGTTAATTCCGTTATCATGCAATGGTTCCTTAGCTGGATGCTGGATGTTTGCGGTGATAAAGGTTGAGATGTAGACGAGTTTGTCGTGTTTAGGCTACCGCTGGATTCTTGGAGAAGGACCGCATGAAATCGATAATGGAGCAGCTGGACGAGGCGACGACTCTGATAGCGGCTGCTGCGCACGATTTGGACCATCCGGGGAAGTCCAGCGCGTTCCTGTCGAACTCCGATAACGCCCTGGCCATTTTGTACAACGACGTGACCGTGTTGGAGTCGCATCACGCCGCTATTACCTTCAAACTAACCTTAGGTAAATTCGTCGTGTCGTTTCTAAGCGGTTTCGGTTGACTTTGGGATCGTTTCCAGGCGACGAACGGATCAACATCTTCAAGAATCTGGATAGGGAAACGTACAAGATAGCCCGATCGAACGTGGTCGATATGATTTTGGCCACCGAGATGACCAAGCACTTCGAGCACCTCGCCAAGTTCGTCAACGTGTTCTGTCCGAAATCCTCCAGCTCCGATCTCGAGGTAAAACTCTTCTTCCACGTTGTACTTACATTCATCTCTTTATAACTATACAACTGAAAGCGACATTCACTGACTCATTGGGGTGTTTTTTACGGCTTTATTAGCGTGCGAAAAAATCGGAAAAAAATCCTATCCTACGTAACTCGACGAGATCTATCGAAATATCGACTTTTCGAAACCCGGAAAAGTTTACTTCTAGGTGAAAAACCCGATTTTTTGTTAAAATTACGCTTTTTTGGCATTTTCGACCGATATCTCCGAAACTACCCGAACGATTTTTTTCAAACTTTGACCGTATATTCTTTGATTTTTTTGCCATTTTTCCACGCAAATCGCATTTCTTCAAAAATCTATTTCACCAAGTTATAGGGAAATGAAAATTTGCCGAAATTAAAATTTTATTTTAAATAAATACACTCCGTTTACTCGGAAACTATAGGGTTTTCGAAAAAAATGTATTCTTTCAAAATGATTAATTCAAGTTTCATTCAACTAACAAAACAAACCCGATAACGATATCTTAACCCGTTTCGGAATCATAGCAAAAAAACTTCGTCGATGCACCGGAGTACCGGTGTTTATAATTCAATTTCTATTTACCATGGGCGGCGTTCGGCGATTTTTTTTTGCAAAAAAAAAATTTTTTTAACGGCGCGTAGCCCCCTTTACGAACGCAAGCGAGTATATAGCATGATAAAATCGCATTGTACAGGGCGACGCGGGCGATTACGCGCCTCTGTCGGTGCCCGAGAACGTGACCCTAGTCAAACGGATGATGATCAAATGCGCCGACGTTTCGAATCCCACGAGACCTCTGCGTTTGTGCGTGGAATGGGCGCGTCGGATCACCGAGGAGTATTTCCATCAGACCGACGAGGAGAAGCAGCGCGGCCTGCCGGTGGTGATGCCGATGTTCGACAGGCACACCTGCTCCGTGCCCAAATCGCAAATCGGCTTCGTCGATTACATCATCAACGACATGTTCGAGGCTTGGAACGGTGAGCGATGAATTTCTGTTTTTTTTTTTTTTCGTGGTTTAAATTGGTTTTTTGTCGGCTTCGTTTAGCTTTTATCGATATGCCGGAGTTGTTGGCGAACATGCGACAGAATTACATCAGATGGAAGGAGATGGACGAGCAAGGTCACACGTCTTTAGTGGACATCCAAAGGCTGCAATTGACGCCGTTGATGGCGCCGATATTTTCACCGAAATCTTCCAAGTCCGACTGATCAATGTTTACACGTAAGTCTGAAAGCTACCTTTTTATTAAAGCATCCTTCATTTTAAAGCATCTTTCATCCTAAAGCTTCCTTTATCTTTAAGCCTCATTCATCTTAAAGTTTCCTTTATTCTTAATTCAAAGGTTGCAATTAACGCCGTTGATGAAGCAGATATTTTCTACCAAATCTTTCAAATCTTTTATCTTAAAGATTTATTTATCTTAAATCTTTCATAACTTTAAAACTACCTTTATATTAAAGCTTCCTTCATCTTAAAGCTTCCTTTATCTTTAAGCTTCATTCATCTTTAAGCTTTCTTTATTTTTAATTCAAAGGTTGCAATTAACGCCGTTGATGACGCCGATATTTTCTACCAAATCTTTCAAATCTTTTATCTCAAATCTTTCATTACTTTAAAGCTACCTTTATATTAAAGCTTCCTTCATCTTAAAGCATCCTTTATCTTAAAACTTCCTTTATCTTTAAACTTCATTCATCTTAAAGCTTCCTTCATTCTTAATTCTAAGGCTGCAATTGACTCCGTTGATGACGCCCATATTTTCTCCCAAATCTTTTATCTTAAATCTTTCATTACTTTAAAGCTTCCTTTATCTTAAAGCTTAATTTACTTTAAATCTTCCTACACTTTGAAGCTTCCTTTGCTAGTTTTTAGAATAACTAATGTTGGTTTTATTGTTGCATAGGTCACAGTGTCGACAACGGTGACTTAAGACATTATTTTTTACTTAAAAGAATGTGAATTTCTGTAACATATCGTGTGTCATATCTATCCGTGTAAGGACGATATATTGATGTGTATCTATAAACCTGCATTTTCCCGGTAATAGGCGGCGTGAAGTCGATTTGGAATTGTCAAACTGTCGTTTAGTAACGAACGCGCAACAGGTTTCGCGCAGGTTACGTGCGCTGCTATTGATAGGGAGATGTAAGTAAAAAAAAATCATATTCCTCTCGGTTTCATAGCGCCCGTTGAAACGAATTTAAATCTATATAAATAAACTGTGTACTATATTTCGCGTAATTTCTTGCATGCTGGTCGTGCATATTTTTTTTTATTAATTATTGTTTATTAGATAATTTAATGAGAATACGATTTCATGTTCTTACTGTTTTGTATTTAAAGAAAGGATGGAAAAAAAATCATATAAAAATATATGGATGTTAATACTTGTATGTCCTTTAAATGTGTATACAAGTTGCTCCATTTTTGATTGCAAAGGAAAAAGAAAGAGTGATATTGTGTCATTGCAACTTTTCACTCTGACAACTGTCATTTTAATAGTCTTTCTTTGTTCCACTCATAGAAATGACCATAATGCAATCGGGAATGGAGCAAGGTGTATAATAAAAGATGTTTTATATAAATACTAAAGCGTTTTGTGTAACCTATCCATTCCTCATAATTTTTTCTTATACAAGATGATAATAAGTGCGTCAAATTTGTTTTTAAAAAAACCAAAGATTTATTTATTTATTTCTCTGGAACCAGACGAGATATTCAAATAAAATTTGGTGGATTTTGAGAGGTAACTATATTAAGAAAAAAAATAATATTGGTACGCCACTGAGGCATTTTTATTGAAAATTCAATTATCAATAAATTCCTCGTTCAATTTATAACAAAAAAACTCTCTTGTATATTTTTTCGTACGAACCACTGTTTTCGAGTAAAAAAATTTACCTCAATACAAGTCATCTCAACAAGTGAAGAAACATTTATTAACACCCTGTATAAACATCTATAATAGCCTTATAAAAATCAATCAATTGCCGGATTGCGGTTGGGGCGATTCCACCACCGGCGTGACCGTCGCCTTTGCCGGCCCCGTCTGCGTGATGGGCACCACTCTCTCGCCCCCGGGGGGCTTCTCCGACCTCTTGGGGGCGCTCACCGTCAGCACCCCGTCGGAGGACAACGACGACACCACGGCGTTGACGTCGTGCGACTCGGGCAGCACGTAACGCCTCACGAAGTGCCTCATTATGAACCCGTGCTCGTCCTGCTTCTCCTCGTGCTTGCCCTCCACCACCACGCTGTTGCCGGTCACCTTCACCGTGATCTCGCTCGGCGCGAATTGCTGCACGTCCAAGATCACCTGGAACACAACGGAATTTATCTGTCTATCCCCCGTGGCCTAGAAGAGGCTAGGATTCCAAGATATGGAGGAGTCTTGGACCTGGAGGTGCCTAAGAGTTTAGGATATAGTGTAGAGGAGTCTAGGATTTGGAGGTGTCTAGTTCGTAGATGAGGCTAAGAGTTTAGGATCTAGAGCATATGGGAGTCTAGAAATTTAGGATATAGAGGGGTCTAGGAACTGGAGAAGTCTAGGAACTGGAGGAGTCTGGGATTTTAGGAGTTTAGGATCTGGAGGTGTCTAGTTCGTGGATGAGGCTAAGAGTTTGGGATCTAGAGGAGTCTAGGAACTGGAGGAGTCTAGGATTTTAGGAGTTTAGGATCTGGAGGTGTCTAGTTCGTAGATGAGGCTAAGAGTTTAGGATCTAGAGGAGTCTAGAGCATAGGGGAGTCTAAGAGTTTAGGATCTGGAGGTATCTAGTTCGTAGATAATGCAAAGAGTTTAGGATCTAGAAGAGTCCATGAGTTTGGGACCTAGAGGAGTCTAAGACACGGAGGAACCCATGAGTTATTTGAATCTAGATGAGTCTAGAGAGCCTGCTAGAGGGTCCTCTGAGGTGTAATAAAGAGGTGGATGAGTAGGTACTCGCCTGGAATTTGTCCTTGTCCTGGGTGATGGTGGAGCCGGAGTCCTGGCGTTGGAGGTCGGCGCCGACGCCCGTCCACGGTCTGATGTAGTTGGTGAGTCGCGAGCGCCTCGGGATGGCGCTGAGCGAGTTGAGGAGGTCGTCGCGTTTGAGGCCGACGCCGAAGTGTTGGTCGATGAGGCGCGACGGCCGGAGGAGGTCCTCCTCGTCCCACCAGTCGCGGAATAGGAGCGGTACCATCGACATCTGTCCAAACAGAAGTGTTGAAGTGAGATGTGATGGAATTCGAGGTGAGATAGAACTGTAGAGTTTGCTTTGAGATATGACAGGATTTGCTGTGAGATACGATTGACTTTGCAGTGAAATATGACAGTACAATTTGCCTTGGGATATGACAGAATTTGCTGTGAGATACGATAGACTTTGTAGTGAGATATGACAGTAGAATTTGCCTTGAGATATGACAGAATTTGCTGTGAGATACGATAGACTTTGCATTGAGACATGACAGTAGAAATTGCCTTGAGATATGGCAGAGTTTGCTGTAAGATATGATAGACTTTGCAGTGAGATATGACAGTAGAATTTGCCTTGAGATATGACAGAATTTGCTGTGAGATACGATAGACTTTGCAGTGAGATATGACAGAATTTGCTGTGAGATATTTCAGTAGAATTTGTCGTGAGATAAGGTGGAATTTGATGCGAGAGTGGGCGATCGGTGTTTTTTTGGGAAAACTCGCGTAAACATATGCAGGATTATTTTTAGAACAGATGCGTTTACTGGGTTATTTTCTTTGGCAACAGGTATTTTATTTTAGAACGGATTTTCAGTACGTGGAAATTCAAGCACAGAAATGCAGAAAAATTAATAATACATTGTATTATTTATCAATCCTTCGTGTAGTAGACAATGAAGTACAAGAATTTGGGAGTTTGTGATCTAATTATCTTTTTCTCCCACTTCTTAATAATCTCTCTCAATAAACTCCCACTTCTTAATAATCAAATAAAAAAAAATAGGTAAGTAACTCCTATTTCCTACATGAAACAAAATAAATAGCTAGAAACCTCAAAAACAAAATTCTTTACCTTTGTAAATATTTTTTCTTGGAGTTCCTCACTGACTGCACAGTCTAATTCTCTGATCGGACTGATTCGATCGGGATTTAGGTCGGCGTTTTATACACCAGAACGCTTTCGGTGCGATTATGCGGCTATTTCTAGAAAAATCTCGAAAGATGAATCAAAATTTTCGATTTGGCAAACGCCATACCCGGCGTTTTGGTTTTGAATGTTTGTTTTGAGCTAAAAATAATCGGGTGAGTAAAACAATAATATTCGCATCTGCGTAAAATTGATTGTTGTTTACATGTATCGATTGAGTTATTCCTTATTTGGTTGTTTTTCTTTGGAAAAGGGTGAAGAACAAATCATATACAGCATGTATATCTGAAATAAGTGGTCAAACTTTAGGAGCAAGTAGAGAACCTGAATATATAACAAAAACTTAAATGTCATTTTATCTACTTGCTCCTAAAGTTTGACTACATATATTTTCACCACTTATATTTCAGAAACACCCTGTATATTTTTAATAAAGCAGGGGAATCACTTGTAATGTAACTTGTAACGTATAAGTCGTTAGATTTGGGAAATTACCATTTTAACGCTTAATGTTTTCCTAGTATAAGTGTTTTAATAAATAAATTTAAATAAAATAACACATTTTTTAGTTCAAAGTATAAAAATCACCCTTTAAAGTAACCAATAACTACATCGATCGAGGCCACTACCTAACCCTAACTTCACTACACTTCAACTTACCTAATGACATTTGACTTTGACAAATGTAATAAAAAGAAGATGTTTTGAGGTTGTATTACTTATTTTGAAGTATTTGTTATGAAGTTAATTTAGTTTACAAAGAGAAATGTCGTTATTTCCAGCTTATTCTGATACGAATACAAAAGTACCTGAAGATCCAATCAGTAATAACAGCGAGTGGTTAGAAAATTCAAGTTTCCAACCCACTTTAATAACCCCACAACAACCCGATGTTACCGAAGCGAAAAACACCGCCACAAACTCAACACGCAAACATAAAAAACGAAAGAAAACTAAAGAAAAACTCAAAAACACAACGAAACAAGTAATTAAATCCCAACTAACACCCGAAATAGTAGAAGATGTGTACAGAATAGAACTCTCCGGCGCGAGGGAATTACTAAACGTCACCCGTATATCTAGACCTTCAGCTCCGAAATGCGAGATAAAATATTGGATTCGCGACAAAAGGTACCCCAAAACCACTTCGAAAACCTCCTTCAAACGCTACCACAAGTACCTACATGTACCATCGAAACCCGACAAAGAACAGCCTCTTACATCGAAGAATCTAGACACAATCGGCTTCGCAGAACGAGACGAACACTACTCGGGCTTCAAAGAAGAAAAAGAACTATCAGACAAAACCGGTTACTATAATAAACATTTAAACGAACACCCCGACGATATTAAAGTGTGGTTAGAGTACATTCGATTCCAAGATATTGTGCACGACTTCGAGAAAACCCACAAGAAAGGCAGCATCGTTAAAACCCAAAAAGTCCTAGCCGAACGGAAATTATCCATACTAGAAAAGGCCCTCCTTTTAAATATCAACGATGAGTCTTTACAAAGAGAGCGATTGAAGATTACAGCACGATCGTACCCCTCCGACGAACTACAGGTAATAATAATCCTTATCTCGAGTTGTTTATACAAGTAAAATGTTTGTAGATGTACCTGAAGAACCTGGTTGAAAAAGACAAGGGAAATATAATCCTCTGGCAAGGATACATCGAGGCTACTCAATGCTCGATGTCCCATTGCAACACCCCGAACGTCCTGCAGCTCTACACGAAGTGCCTATCGACTCTGCATCAGATGCGAAGGGCTTCATCGGTGGAGCGACATTTACTGGAAGAATCCATTTTGAACATGCTGTACCAATGCGGGTTGTTTCTCAAGCAAGCCGGGCTCTTCGAGCAACTTTGGACTCTACTGAAATTGTATTTGGAGTTAAATTTATCACCGAACGATAAAAGTAAATTCGATTTTAGCGAATCGAGCCGATTCGAAGAGACCCAGCTAGTGGAACTGGAAGAGGTGATATTAACGTCGAATTTGCCGTTGCACGAGCTGTGGTTGAGGATCGAAAAACTGCGAGAATCCTGCCATTTTCTTCCTCATAACGATGTAGGTCGATGCGAGGATCCCCAACGGATGGTCTTCGTCGAAGACGTTGCCGAGTTAGTACACCCAATCACGATGCCTAACAATGTATTCAAGCTAACAGCCACCGTTTATTCTTTGCTGAAGGTTCCGTTGTTGCCCTGTAGACACACCACGATGAAGGAGCTCGGATTGGATTACGTTCCGTGGAATTTGGACTCGATCGAGCCACTTTTGGCGGTGTTTTTGCCTTTATATCCTATTGAAATCTCGAAGAGTTTCTGGAGCGATACTAAACTGGCTGTAGGGCCGCAGTATTTGAAGAAAATACCGGGTCACGAAGAGTATTTACGTTTCGTGTTGAAGTTAATGGAGAATTGCGCCGGGTGTTTGAACGGCGACGACAAAATGGCGGCCACCATTTGGTTCTTCCGTTTCCAGAGGCTACTTGTGATATTGCACAATTCCAAATTGTTTATCATGAGCGATTCGTTGAAGAAATTAATCAGGAAAACGTTCAAAGACGTTCTTAAAGTAGAAGAAAACCGACAAAACGAAATATACTACTTGGAATACGCTTTGTTGGAGTACGAATTGGGCAACATCGAAACCTGCTCGAGCATAATCGAGACGGCTTTGAAATTCAACAAAACTACCGAATGCGATTTCAACAACATCGACGAATCGCTGGTAAATTGGTGTCATTTGCACAAGCAATACGTGCAATTGGAAATCAAACAATCCCGTAACGAATCGGCCGTGAAGTTATTGTGCAAAATGGTTTCGTTCGAACATCGCTCGAGCCTCGAAGAGATAGAAGAGAAATTTCACTCGATCACTCACCGTTTGTTGGAAAACTTCACGACGATTACGTGCGTGCAGCATTTCCTACCGAACTTTTTCACCGATTGGATCATTTGCAACGGATGGTTTTTGTATCTGACGAAAACCCCCGAAGACTGCTTTAGATTCCTGTCGAATTGCTTGGAAACTTTGCGACACTCCGATACGTTGCAGAAGGAGGTTTTGTACGAATTCTACGCGGCCGTGCTGTTTAAATACTCTACGGAAAGTAGAGAGGTCGTTAAATTGTTAGATGAAGTCTTATACTCTGCTGTGGAGTGTTACCCGAACAATATATTCCTGTTGTCGGTGCTCGGGAAGCGGCAGGAGCTAACGAATTGCTTGGGTTTGAGGTGGTGGAAGGTGCAGAATTTGTTGTTGAGCACCGATAGAGCTTTGGCTTCTTTGTACGCGGTGATTATCGTGAAACAGCAAATCGATATGTTTCAAGAGGACGTTATCGATACGATTACCGGTGAGTAAAGTGGGCTGTATAACCGTATGGTATGTTGATTGTGTGCGTTTTAGAATCGAGCTGTGGGCTTCGGCCGAATTTGAAGAATCAAATGCTGTCGGTGTTGAAGAAAATTACGTCGGGAACGAATACGAGAAAGTGCGGGTTGATTTGGAGGTTGTATTTGCAGTTCGTTTACGCTCATTTCTCGCCGGAAATCTGCAGGAACGTGTACTATTCGGCGGTGGAAGAGTGCCCTTGGTTAAAGGTACCTGTTATGAATTAATTTCGTTTATTTTAACGATTAAATCGCGTTATTTTAGGCTTTGTATATGGACGCTGCTATCTATATACCCACTGAATTGGCGCAGATTCAGGATTTGATCATCGAAAAGCAACTGCGATTGCACGTCACGCCTGAAGAATTGGACGTTTTGAGGAATTAAAATGGTTAGATTAAGTTTAAGGTTTATTTTGTTATAAAAAAATTATAAAAATTTGTTTTGTTTTTGGCTGATCAAATATTATAGTAAAGGCCACGTATTGTTTTGACAGTTCAGCAGAAGTAATTTGAAATGACAATTGACAGCGCGTACATAACACTTGTTTAAATAATCGTTTAAAATACATAACTAATTAAAATAATGATTCATAAGTAAGTAAACCGAAATAATTAACACAATTTTAGGTAATATGTCGTTGTTTTTTCGTATTTGCTGGTCAATCATTGTAGTAAAGGTCACTTTTTGGATAGTTCAGAAGAAGACATTTGAAGTAACATTTATACACATAACCACAAAAAACTTGTTTAATTAATCGTTTAAAAACATAAACTAATTAGAACAATGATTCATAAGTAAGTAAACCGAAACACCAAACGCAATTAATACCATTTCAACCGATTTCAGGTAATGATATACTCCAAACATCTATCGATCTTCCGCCGGCGTAAAATATCCTACTTCGTGATCCCCCTCGTCATTCTCTCCACGATATTCGTCCTGCACCAAATCGTCTTGTTCGTCGAATTCACCAGCGACAGCCAAAATCAAAATGCCAAACCTGGCTCGACGCCCTTAGCAGTAAGAGGCGTGCACGCGCAACGGGCCAAGTTCTACGAGCCCAACCGACACAACCAGTTCGTTTGCATAGGCAGCTTGGAGGTGATAGATCTGAAGATGGTAAACGACGACTACTGCGATTGTTTGGACGGAACCGACGAACCCGGTACGAGCGCTTGCACCAACGGCGTGTTCTACTGCGGGAACCACGAACGGAACCCGAGGTACATTCCTTCGTCGATGGTGAACGATGGCATTTGCGATTGCTGCGATGGATCTGACGAGTGGAGCAACAACGTGATATTTCCTAGTACTAAAGGTACGTATTTGTTGTGGGGTTGTTTCGCAAAATTTTAGTGTTATCGGTTGTTGTTTTTTTCTAGTTTCGATGCGAAAATTTCATCTACCATGTCCCAATAGTTGTTAACGATTAGGTTAAAATAAAACTAAAGTTTTGCGCAAAAGTTGGCAACACTCTTTTAGTTAATAGGCAACTTTTAGTTAATATTATCGTTTATTTTAATCATATTTTTAACAAGATCACTGTGATTGAACTCCGTAACGTCCGTATCCCTTAAACTCGAATTACTGATCGCAGCGCTGTCGGAGTGTCTCTTACCGAATATCCTGCTGAATTTAAACGGCAGTAACGCGGTATTTTTGTCGCCCTCGTGCTCGGACGCGATCGATTTGTTTCTGTCGTACAACGACGTGCTGCGGCTCGAATTCGATAAAAAACTGCTCCGGCTGCTGTCCGATACCTTCGAATCGTTCCGTTTGTTCGGGCGCTCGCCGGTTTTCTGCAGATTCGAGGCCACGTTGTCCGAAACGGATCGCGGTATGTCGCGCATCTTCGGCGGTATCCGCCTGATGGCCGCGTAATGGCCGTTTGAGGTTTTTTTGCAACAGCACAATTCGGCGAAAGTGTCCTGAAATGTTGGAGAAAAATTGGATAATTTTGTGTAATTTATGGTCTTTCTAATGTTCTAATCAATCGTTGTAAGAGACTCTTTTGAATTGACAGTTTTACATTGGTTGTTATGGAGTAACTAAGGAGATTCTTTCAATTTGACAGTTTTACATTGTTGTTATGGAGTAACTAAGGAGATTGTTTACGTTGAATAGTCTCTTTAAGCGATTGATTAGAGTTAAAAACAAGCACTGAATACTATTGAAAACAAATACATTTAATAAACCGATAAGTGCAAATTTATTGGCAACATACTCTATGAATAAAGAAAAAAGAAGGAGCGATATTGCGGGATTGCAATAACTTTCTCGCTCTAACCCACTGTTATTTTATTTTAATAATATTTCTTTGTTCAACTCATAGACTTGCAAAACAAATTTGCACTGACCTGTATGTACTAAATTTCCGCGACAGTCGATCAATTTTTCCACAATGTAGTTGTTTGTTTTCTAATTTTAATCGATTAACGATCGAAGGAATGTTTTTTTTAATCGATCGATGAGAACATCTCGATAAATACGTACAATAAAAATAAATATGCAGGAATATTCAAATTACCCGTCCGGGCGATTTGTTAATTTAATCGCATTATTTGCTAATTTGTCCGAGACGAAACTAAATAATTAAAAACGATTCGTTTGCGACTAAATAAAAGTTCACTACACTGAATCGCGGTTACCTTGAAAGCCTTTCGGAATTTCTTGGACATTATGTGGTACAAGCAGGGATTCACCGACGTCGATATGAAGTACAGCAGGCCGGATATGTACATTAAATACAGGTAGAAACCTGCGAACATGTTCTGGACATCTTCCGAAGCGTTCGATAGATAAATGGCGAGCAATCTTTGGGCGTGAAAGGGCGCCCAGCAGATGAAGAAGGCCACCACAACTGCAACTAAAAGGTAAAAAAAATCCAGTATATGAGAATATTGCGTATTTAGTGTATGTAATTGTTGCGTTGAAATAAAGAAAAAATGATGTAAATTAACTATTTTTTTATTCCACTTTATAGTGTAATATCGTCTACTTCTATTGACCTTTCAAAACGCGGCGAATCTGATTAGAATTCCAAAAACTCGTTTCCTTATTAACGAATTTTTAAGCAAATTTTATCAGCGTATTTCGAATCGAATACTCTCGCTAAGAGCGTCAATAAATTGCTGCAATATATTGCACCGTGTAAAAAGGTTCTAATAGCACTAAAAATTTCACGCCGATTAGTTATTTATCGATGTAGGTAAATTCAAAGGCATTGTATAAAAATAGAGTGCATATTCGGCATTGAATAATCATTATCGAGCGGTTTTGATTCGAATTCGTTGCATTTTTATCGAATTTATGCAATTATTGATAAAGAAAATGACGATAGTTTGATAAACGAGCCGCCTCCTTTTCGATGTAGCACCGCTAATTTATATACTTTGTTGTTTTGTCGAGTTTTTTGCGCGAATTATACAAACCGAATGTTATTTTTAATTATTTTAATTTGCCCTTCTAATTGTCCACATACGACGAAATGCACTCAAAATTACGCCGGCGAATGTTACACGTTCATTGAAAATAATGAGCATTTTTATTGCATTATTTCGAAACATATTGCGGGAACAACGAAATGCTTTCTCGAAGGTTGTTCTCTCGTTGAACAAACAAAAAAATATGTTTCTATAACGAGCTTTTTTTCTAGTTAATAATCAAACGGTTAATGTACGTAAAAAATGGTTTTTTTTGGCTTATTGGCTAATTAAAATGCAATTTATTGGGATAATTAAGGAACTATCTGGTATAGAAATATCGTATAATGATTGTAATGTTGTTAAATGTTGTACAGGGTATGCGAAGATGAGCTTAAAATATTTGAAGACTGTAGCAGAAAACTATTTCTTATTACTGATTAACTTCTTCAACAACTTTCTACTATTTTTATACACACCTCGTATAAAATAAAGAGTTTTTCCATTCATAATCAAATACCTTTGGCCTTTCTAGTAGCTACCCTTAAAAAAATTCAAAAATCTTTAAAGGGATTCACCTAAAAAATAATTTATAAGGACATCGGTGTTTGATCTTAAACATAATTGAAAATTCATAAATATATGGGGCATTCCATTTAAAATAACAATATTTCAAAGTGTCAAAATATTTAAAAAATGCACCTTAATGCATGAAATATATGCATACCAAATATTATCTATTTCTGGTAAATAGTTGCCAATATAGAGATAGTTTAAGCTCGTGATGACATACCCTGTAGGTATGCGTTTAAATTGGCAAAACGCGCATTTGCCAATTAGTATTTTTCAAATTAGAGTTTGTAATTGCTAAGAAAAAAAAACAAGCCACCTAACGATTGTGATCAAAAGTTAAAGCAATTGCAACGTGCATTATTTTTTATCTAAATAAATATCGTTCGGGAGCAGTTTGTATGCAAAAATAACGATTCGCCCAATATCCATTTACATTATTTTATCGATGAATAAAAAATATATAAATATTGCGCATTTTCGACCGAGAATAGAAATAATATCGCGGAATTATCATGTAGAAATTGCCAATGCAATATGCAATTTTAATCCGTTTGCCAAATTATACCAGAGAAAAACGAGTTGTTTATACATTAAAAACGTAATTACATTTACCAGACATCGGATCTAATTTTAAATTGGCATTAATCACATATTCTCCTCTCTATTAAAAACCGAATATTTACGAAATTAGTTCCCGCTAAGTAACGTTATTAATCATTTAATATTTCACACTTTAAAATGCGCCTTTATAGAATCTAAAATAAGAAAAATCAGGTGTGCTTATTATCAGATGTGTCAGATATTCAATGTCAGTACGAGTGACAGGTGACATTTATTACCTATTTATTTACCTACTAGATTAACTAGACGATCTGATTTGTAATTAATTTTATTTTATGACAGAAATGAGGAAGGTGAAATGATAAGTCTAGTAATTTTGCGATCATTCAATTGCATTTTGAAACATACTTTTAAACTGTTTTCTTCAATAGCAATTATCAATTTGCAAAAATATTAGAATTAGTTGGCTGACTAAATTTTTTTTGTTATAATTACCTGTAACTTGCAATTGCTATTTTTTTACCTAATAATCAGTTAGGGTAGACTGGGACAATTGTAAAAATGGGGTAAATGTAATATTTTTACCTATTATGTTAATGTTTTTTATTATTTTTATAGTTCTTTTGTGCATTAGACATCAGGGTTTGTTTCTTATTTTTTCTTTATTATTTTGTAGCTCTGTTATTTTTTGAAATAAATAAATAAACAGCATATCAAATTTTAGAGGAACCAAATATGTATTGTACGGGGTAAATGTAACATATTGTCAACATTTTAAAAAATATGTAAAATCGTTTCTTCCTTTTTCAAAAAAAACTTTTTAATACCTCGATTCTTTAGTTTAGGAAGTTGTGAATTTAATGTGGTATCAGCATTTCTAATAAGAGAAAAAATAAAGCCACATTTTAGGATTTAATTTGAACTATTCAAATTTTACAACCAATTTGCCCCAGTCTACCTTACCTACTTTTCAAAAATATTCTACCTACAGACCGATACAAATAGCTAAACACACTAAGGTTACATGCGCATTTTGAACAAACAAATCGTCTCATTATATCTCTCTATATTATAATAAATAAACTCCACATATAGGTAATGAAAAAAACTGCATTCAGCGTGTACAAAAAATCCCTTTTATTTCGCAAGGACGTTTCCACATTGTCAATTAAACATGCGGGCGATCTAAACGAATAAAAAAGGTCGAGAGAACATCGAACAGGTATCTCGATCGTTTTACCTGCCACAATAACGAGCAGCTATAATGTAGAAAGTGGAAATAAATAGGCGAAAACATCGCGAGAGGTCGTGACACCCGCTTCTACATAAAATTTTTCGTTTGATTAATCGATCGATTATGCAAAATTATTCCGAACCCGTCTGCGTTTTTGATCTAAAAGGTTCCCCCGCACCGTCCGCGGATCAATTGAATATTCAAACGGAACATGTTATCATTAAAATTATTGGCCATTTTAATTTATATGATATTGTTTGTGTTCGCTTTAATTTCTTCGATTGTATCGTGTTTGTGGTCAAACAAACAAGGCTTTATTTAGTTCGGATGTCTCCCATGCAAGGACTATTCTATAATAATAATTATTATTATTTATTTATTTATTCATTGTGATGATATCACTTTAAAAACGTTTAACATTTATTGAGGATAACAAGGGTTTCGAGTTATAAACTACAGCTTTATATACAGGGTGTTTGAATAATGTAGATATATAAATTTTAAAGGGTTTGTCTGCAAATATTTCGTTTCTGATATACCGGGTGTTGAAGTTGAAATTGTGTGGAAATATGATTTAAAATTCTCAAAAAAATTAGAGGAAATTGAAATATATAATGATAGCGCGCTCTAAGTTTAAAAATGAATGCCAAATTTTCATTTCTTACCTCAAAAAAATACCATTTTTTTTGCAAAATTTATTCAAAACTTCATCTCAAAATTAGTCAAAGATTTAAAGTTTGTACAAAGTTGGTAGATTTAATAAAATTGCCCCGCTTTCCCTATACTTTAATATTTCTCCATTTTTCTCTGTATTCCAGTTTCATTAATTTTATCACTAGTTATTTCGTTAATATTCACACACATTTGCATCAATTTCGTAACCGATTTGTGTCAATTCTGAAGCTCCTCTTGAAATTGTATGCGGGAAAGTTTTTTTTTTGTTATAATCCGTTAAATAAATTATGCATAAATTTTGTCCTTGTGCATAAAATTAGTATTTTTTTTTATTTCTGTGGGGTACTTGCAAATCGCTCCTATATCTGGAGATTTAAATAAATTTGCAATTAACGGTTATAATATGTACATAATGGTGATTTGAAAATTCGTTTTTTTTTTCAACATATTTCGATAGGTGACAAAATAAATGTGGCGAATTTATTAATATTTTTTGGTAATTTTCTCTTAAACTCGACAACTAATAATAATTATTAAATTGTTTTTTTTCTGATTATTAGTCAAATTATCATAAATATTATTATATACACGAGTTTTTATAATCGTTAAAAGGTTAATTATAGGTTTTACAAGAAATTCGTTTGACAGTTATTTTATAATCGCAAAATTGATTTAATGCTAATTAAATCATAATTAAAAACCAATCGAAATGACTCGTTAATAATGTTTTGTTTGTTTACTAATTTATATACCTAATTTTTATGTAATTTATTCGTTTATACAGTGCAACTTTAATCCTCTGTGTATATACGAAAAATCGATATACTGATAAGCATCGATTTCATATTATTGAGTTTTAAATTGATCGTTTAACCTATTCGTGACTCTTAATGATTGGGACTTTTTATATTTGTTTCCAATACTGCAATTCGTTAACAGTTGACATAACAAAATAAAAGTAATAAATGACCTGCCAATAATTTCTAATCACCCGGTATATTGATCAAATAATTTGCGTATTATATTGAAATAGGCGTCCTCGATAAATTTTAACTTCCATTTGGCCCGGGGGAAATTGATCCATCAGGATGTGGTACAAAATAATTAACTGGTATAATAATCCGATAATTTATATATTAATTTTGATTTACGGTCTTGTTGAATAAGTAGGAATTAAAGGTGTCGTTTGTATTAAATCGTAAATAATTAAGTTGGTTACATATTTTTTTCTTTTCAACTCTGTTTACCATTAATTCAAATAGGAAATATATTTGTTTGTTTTATTGCAATATCAATGTCAAGTCGAAATTTTTTAAAAAAACTGTTGAAAATTAATTTAAGCTTAATTTATTGACCGGTAATTTGGCCTTGCTTAATTGGAGATATTTTTTCCTAATAGTCTGTGAACTGTCTGGAACTGTGTTGATTTTTTTTGATAGGCTTGAAGAAATTTTTCAAAAGCTTCTTTTAAAAAAAGGTTAATTTTTATGAATCCGCTTTTTTTATAAAACGTTTGTATACAGTGTGTCCTAATGAATTTAGCATTTTTGAGCCGATAATTTGAACCGATAATACAGGGTGTTTTTTTTAATTAAATGCTAATACTGAAGGTTGTAATTATTGGACCTATAGAAAAAAAAAGAATTTTTTACTGTCATTTCCATACCACTTTAAATATTTTTATGAAATTTGGTGAGTATTTCCAACAGTGGCGTCGTACTGGACTCGGTGCGAATATTTTTGAGGGTAAAAGTGGTACACCACTGCTTTCTCTTGGAATAAAAATTATTTTTGCATTCCCCATTCAATTTAGAACAAATTTGATTTCTCGATTTTTTTTCGCATGAAAAAAATCAAATCCACTCTTCGTTTTTTCCTTCTTAAAACGGTCCCAAGAAACAACCCCTATATACAGTGTGTCCTCGAAAAATGCTCGCACAAAGACACCGATATAGTACAATAGACACATATACAGATTGCTTCAATTCAGACCGCCAACATGGTCGTTTCTATGAGTTGAACAAAGAAAGATTAATAAAACAACAGTTGTCAAAGTGAAAAGTTGCAACGACACAAACGTCACTCTTTCTTTTTTCCTCTATAATTGTCTAATTGAAGTTGTCTTTGTTGCACCCGTAGCCTATGTTGCAATTGAAAAATGTAGCAATCTGTATGTATACTGAGTGACAAAAGTAAAAGAACACCAAGAAGCAAATTTTATTTTTCATTCAAACTGTAAGAGAGTGTGTACAGCACCACGGTGGTGCAACACATTATTAATAAGTTTTGTTGTTAATTTGATGAATTAATTTTAATCATTTGCTTATTTTTCTCTAATACATGTAACTAGAATAAATGGTTAAATTTCAACAACTATTTTTTTGGTGTTCTTTTACTTTTGTCACTCAGCATATACAGCACGTCCCAAAAACACACCATCTTACCGAGCATTTTAACGACGCGCTTCTGTCCCGCCGACGTCCTGCTGACGATCTTCCTGCCGATCTCCCGATCCCCGCCGTCCGACGACGTCCTCTTCGTCGGCCTCACGCTGTAACTCCGCCTCAACCGCCTCCCGATCATCACGTACAACACCGTGATCACGCTCATCGGCACCACGAAGAAGAACACCGTCGACAATTCGAACGAATGCTCCAAGAACGGCTTCTGCATCACGCAGTGGCTGGTGTACCTGCCGTCGATGAATTCCTCGATGATCTCGAACTGGATGGCCTGCGGAAGAGCCAAGCCCAAGGCGATGATCCATATAAAGATGATGTAGCGTACTACTCTGCCCGGTTTGGACCAGGCGTGGGCGAGGAATGGATGGCAGATGGCTATGTATCGTTCGACTGTGAAGGCGGTGATGGTGAGGACGGCGGCGTTCGCGGAAGTCTCCGCCGCCAGCCCTTGGGCGGTGCACAATCCCTGACCGAACACATAATCGTCCTCCGACCAGATCTTGTAGATTTCGAATGGTAACGCCGAGATGAGCAGCAACAGATCGGACACGGCCAGATTGAAGAGGTAGTAGTTGGTGGCGTTCTGCATGGATTTGTTGCGGGCTATCACCACGCAGGTGCTGATGTTGCCGACGAGGCCGGCGACGAAGACGATGGCGTAGATGACGGTGAAGGTTAGGACGATGCCGAAGGGGTACAAGTCGATGGCCTCGCTGTTGGTGTAATTGGTTTGTTGTTGGAGGGTGAAATTCGCGCCGGTTTGGACGATAACGAACACTTTGGGTTGTTCCATGGCGATCGGTGGCTGAAGCGCATCATTCGGTTTTGGAGGATTTAAGTTTTTTGTTTCGTATTATCGGGTGAACCGCGCGCGAGGTTTTTTGGTTTTCGACTGAAGCCGATGATTCGATGGCGGTTTGCTATATAGCGGTTTGGAGAGTTCGGCGTGTTGTGTGTGTGTGTTTTGTGTATTATAGGAGGTGTATCTATTGAAACGGGCAGGATCGGCCAGACCCGTTTCGGAGCGCGAAAATTTCCAATTAAACTGTTAATCGGGTTATGCGAACCGGTTTGTTTGTTTGTGTGTGTGTGTGTGTGTGTAGAAGCGCGATTTGGGATTAAAATATATGTATGTCGCGATTCCAGAACTGGAATGTACAGGGTGTTTTTTCACCACTAGATAACTTGTTTTGAGGAAATGAAAAATGCGCGTCGAGATGTTTTATTTTTTTTACTCACAAAGAGTGGCCCGCGCGAAAACAACACAAGAGAGTTTTTTTGTCACAAATTGAACGAGAATTTCATTCATAATTGAATTTTCAATAAAAATGCCTCAGTGGTGTACCAATATTATTTTTTCTTTAAAAATGTTTTATTATTACCCGTATGCGCGTCAATGATGAAGATAAAATTTTTAATTTTATGTCAAAAAATGCGTAATAGTTACCTCTCAATACCCACCAAATTTCATTTGAATACCTCGTCTGGTTCCAGAAAACTAAATATATCTTCGATTATTAATATAATAATTTTAATTTAATAAATTTTAGATTTAGGACATATGTTAATCTGAAGTTTTTTTTCTTAAAATGGGTCCAAGAATCACCTCCTTAAATATTAGCACGTAATTATGGAACACCCTGTATATTTTCTATTGTTTAATGCCTAAATTGGAAACAAGAAACGTCGTATGTTACAGGATTTTTTTTAGTTATTTGGCAATTAACGGTGTAAATACGGTAATGTCGCGTTTACGCCTATTCTTTCGACTTTTTTAAATTGCGCGTGGGTTTTTAATCGGTCTTATTTAGGAGGAGTTCAATGATATTGTATAAAGATCAACTCAAAATTACCTCTACATAATTTGAAACACAAAGCACGAAAATTAAACTGTTATATAAAGAATTTTAGAGTTGAAAAACCATGTTATGTAGTAGATAAATAGGTAATAAATCCGGCTTGTCACTTGTCAAATTGACATTACACAGGGTGTTAATTAATTAGATACACCTAGATTTTATAAGATATACAGGTTGCTCCATTTTTTTGTTGATTGCAATATAGGCTATATAGGCCATGGGTGCGATAAAGACAACTTCCATTAGACACTTACAAAGAAAAAAGAAAGAGTGACATTGTGTCATTACAACTTTTCACTCTGACAACTGTCATTTTAATAACCTTTCTTTGTTCCACTCATATAAGAATGACATTGCAATCGGAAATGGAGCAAGGTGTAGATGTCAAATGTCCCTATTTTTCGCCAATGAGAAATCCAGTTAGCGACCTTGTCAAGAATTTACTATTTATTTTACTATAGTGTATCGATTCGAATGGAATTCCATCGGAAGACGATTGCAAAACTGCACGTTTCTTCTTTTTTCTTTAAATTTTAATGGCCGAAACAAATTAATGAATGGATTTCCACAGGAAGTTCGAAAAGTTCGAAACCTAGATATATCTTAGATTTTTGCTTACTCTACAAAGAAATTCTCCATATACAGATTGCTCCATTGTTCATTGCAACATAGGCTGTGGGTGCAACAAAGACAAGTTCAATTAGACAATTATAAAGGAAAAAGAAAGAGTGATAATATGTCATTGCAACTTTTCGCTCTGACAACTGTTATTTTAATAAACTTTCTTTGTTCAACTCATAGTTGCAATCGCGAATGAAGCACAGTGTATACTCACCGAGCATTTTGACGATTCTCTTTTGCGCCGCCGCGTTCTTATCGCTCTTCCTGCCGAACTCCTCGCCGCCGCCTCCACCGCCTCCACCGCCGCCCCTGGGGGCTCCGATTTTATTGCCCTTCCTCAATCGCACCCCGATCAGAACGTACAACACCGTGATGACGGCCATCGGCACGAAGAATATCACGAACGTCGATATCTCGAACGAATGCTCGAAGAACGGATTCTCCACGTTGCAATGGTTCACGTACCGGCCGTCGATCAATTCGCTCACCACGCCGAATTGTATGGCCTGCGGTACGGCCAGGCCCAATGCTATGGCCCATATGCAAATTATGTAGCGTACGGCCCTGCTCGGTTTCGACCAGGCGTGCGCCAAAAACGGATGGCAAATCGCCACGTATCTGGAATGGGGAAATTCGAATTCGCTCATGTAGCTCGGTCAACGACGAGTAAAAGGCCGGTAGTAGAGTAAAAGGTTAGTAAAGGTTTACGCGAAAGGTAGTAGAGTAAAAGGCCGGAACGGTTTGCGCGAAAGGCACGTAAAAAGGTCTAATAAAAGGAGTAATTAAAGAACTGGTAAAGGAGTAGTAGAAGACCAATAAAGGACTCTAGTAATAGGTCGGCAAAGGACTGGTAAAAGACCTATAAAGTGAGTAAAAAAGGCTTTTAAAGGGCTCTAGTAATAGGCCAATAAAGGACTAGTAAAAAGCCAGTAAAGGAGTAGTAGAAGACCAATAAAGGACTCTAGTAATAGGTCGGCAAAGGACTGGTAAAAGACCTATAAAGTGAGTAGAAAAGGCTATTAAAGGGCTCTAGTAATAGGCCAATAAAGGACTAATAAAAAGCCAGTAAAGGAGTAGTAGAAGACCAATAAAAGACTCTAGTAATAGGTCAACAAAGGACTGGTAAAAGACCTATAAAGTGAGTAAAAATGGCTATTAAAGGGCTTTAGTAATACGCCAATAAAGGACTAGTAAAAAGGCAGTAAAGGAGTAGTAGAAGACCAATAAAAGACTCTAGTAATAGGTCAACAAAGGACTGGTAAAAGACCTATAAAGTGAGTAAAAATGGCTATTAAAGGGCTTTAGTAATACGCCAATAAAGGACTAGTAAAAAGGCAGTAAAGGAGTAGTAGAAGACCAATAAAAGACTCTAGTAATAGGTCAACAAAGGACTGGTAAAAGACCTATAAAGTGAGTAAAAATGGCTATTAAAGGGCTTTAGTAATACGCCAATAAAGGACTAGTAAAAAGGCAGTAAAGGAGTAGTAGAAGACCAATAAAGGACTCTAGTAATAGGTCGGCAAAGGACTGGTAAAAGACCTATAAAGTGAGTAGAAAAGGCTATTAAAGGGCTCTAGTAATAGGCCAATAAAGGACTAGTAAAAAGCCAGTAAAGGAGTAGTAGAAGACCAATAAAGGACTCTAGTAATAGGTCAGCAAAGGACTGGTAAAAGACCTATAAAGTGAGTAAAAAAGGCTATTAAAGGGCTTTAGTAATACGCCAATAAAGGACTAGTAAAAAGCCAGTAAAAGAGTAGTAGAAGACCAATAAAAGACTCTAGTAATAGGTCGGCAAAGGACTGGTAAAAGACCTATAAAGTGAGTAGAAAAGGCTATTAAAGGGCTCTTGTAATAGGCCAATAAAGGACTAATAAAAAGCCAGTAGAGGAGTAGCAGGAGACCAATAAAGAACTCCAGTAATAGGTCGGCAAAGAACTGGTAAAAGAACTATAAAGTGAGCAGAAAAGGCTAAAAGGGCTTTAGTAATAGGCCAATAAAGGACTAGTAAAAAGCCAGTAGAGGAGTAGTAACAGAGGCCAGCAAAGGACTATCAATAACCCAGTAAGAAAGTAAAAGAAGGCTAATAAAGGACTCTAAGTAATAGGCCAGCAAAAGACTAGTGAAAGGCTGGTAAAAAAGTAGTAACAGGCCAATAAAGGACTCTAGTAATAGGCCGGCAAAGGACTAGTAAAAGGCCAATATAGAGGACTCCAATGATGATCAATCCAAAATTGGTTCGTAACAGAACTCTTTTTTAATGAAAAAAAAAAACAACAACGAAACTTTCTTTGCTTTTTTCCACACTCTATACAATCTACAGGACATGATAAATAGCTAGAGACGCGACGCGCACTAAGGCATTCAACCATTGAAAATTCGCGCACGCCGCGTCTCTAGCTACACCGTACGAACTGTATAATATCTACCTTTCTGCCGTGAAAGCGGTGATGGTCAAAACGGTGGCGTTGGCGGAAGTTTCGGCGGCCAGTCCTTGGGCCGTGCAAAAACCCTGGCCGAACACGTAGTTGTCCTGCGACCACATTTTGTACACCTCGAACGGCAGGGCGGAGAGCAACAGTAGCAAATCGGAGGCGGCCAGGCTGATCAAATAGTAATTGGTGGCGGTCTGCATGGATTTGTTGCGCGCTATCACCACACAAGTGCCGACGTTGCCTATGATTCCCGCTACGAAGATGATGGCGTAGATGATGGTGAACGAAAGGACGATGCCGAAGGGGTAGAGGTCGAAGGATTCGGGATTTTCGAGAGAGGCGGTGTCGTTGGGGTAGAGTAATGTGGTGGAATTGGCGAATGTGAAGTTGGTGATGGTGGTGAGGGCGCCTTCTCGATTGATGAAGAGGAAGTTTAGCATCGCGATTTGTTGTTATAGCGTTTTAGAGTGCTGGAACTTTTTGCGGTGCGATCTCGACTGTTTTAGCGGTTTTTTGTAACTGGTTGAGGCGAGTTTATAAATTATGTAGTTTATCTCGATCCGCGTGCGCCGTTGTCAAACTTTTATCGTTCGGCATTGGGTTTTTGGTTTTAATTGTTAATTAATTAGGATGTATAGTGAATTTTTAATTGGTTTTTTTTTCGTTAGTCTTCGTTTAGTCTATTTTTGTATATGCTTAATTATTATTTTTTATTGAAACATATCCGTGTATAGGTAAATAATTTTTCTATTAGGTGTAGGGTAGAGTAGGGTAACAGATGCGACCCTGTACAATCTTGAAACAGGTAAAGAACAGATATACCTAGTGCTACAATAATCAATATATTATGTCAGATATTAATGTGTCACCCTGTATATAGTATAGTACATATAGTAAAATTTCCACCTCGGTGTCTTTACCTGTTTCAAGACCAACACAAATTAGGGTACAGAGTCCCAAATATCCCAGGGTCTCAAATGTCCCGGATTCATTTTGCAGTGAGAGGTAATAAAAAACGCACATTATTATTAATTAGGTAATTTTTTAATGATAAAAATCATATATACAAAAATTACGAATTGAAAAATTTATTTAGAATTTAATCCAAAATCGAAATAATGGTCGAACAAACAACGCTGAATGTTACATAAACGTGTGGATTTCGTTTGAAAATTGAATTTGAACGAAACAAAAAAAATCCCTGAGTCTATCAGATCAAAAACGGGGCGGTTTTTTTTTGTAAGTGACAGTACCAGGTAATGTTTTAGCTATAGCGAGAGAATTTAAAAAAAAATGGAGACATTCCCCGGTAAATTCATCTTACAATCTAATATTGCTACACATTTATGTATTTTTTTTTAAATATAAATATTCTAGCTTGCGATAAATACTCGTATCGATACAGGGTGTCGCCACTTTATTCTAAATATTAAGTAGAAACAAGACGTGCGTGGCTACACCCTGTATACAACTATTAAATAATTTAATAAAGTAACAGTCTTTTGGCAGATATACAAAAAAAATTCATAAAAATCATACACACACTAATCTAAAATACTGTTTCACTAATTATTTATGTATAATATATACAACATTTTTAGGAAAAAAAAAACGGAAAAGGGTAAAATTGTGTTGAAATTTATCAGCTTAATAACAACAAAAAAAATGTTTAAAAAATACTTCACGCGTATACAGGACCGTTCCAGAACTATTCCTAATAATCCCGTAATTTTTGTTAGAACAATCCTAGTCCGAATTTAAAACGACAGTTCTTAAAATTTTTACAGTCAAAAAGTTTGCCATAATAAAACCAAAACGAAAAAAAAATACAATAAATTAATTCACGTTACGATTGCGGCTACTAAATTTGCATCCAACTAGACGACACGATGAGTTACTAACAAACAACACCGGGACCGTTCCGAACTCGTACAGTATTGCACAGTTCCGAACGGTTCTGTATTACAATCGGCACCGTTCCGGACCGCGCGAACGCTTCGAATTCGCCCGGCTGTGAACGATAGAAAACGACGTCGCGACGCCTTTTAGGACGCCATCGCCGTCCGGTTGCCGTTCGAAGCGCTTTGGGCGAACAACACCCCTTGATAGGTCACCCCGTTCAATTCCATACTGACTACTAGGGAGTTGTCGCCGTTTCTGGCATCGCCTAAAATTAAAAAAAAAATGTTAATTTTGTGTTTTATTTCAATACGAAATTGTTAGGTAAACTTTGACATAATTTATCATCGATGATCTCGCGTTTCTATACAGTGAGGACCAAAAGTTTGACGCCCCCCCTTTAACTTTTGAATGGTAAGAGCTTTTGTCTCGTAATTTGGGGTGTTTATATTGGAGTAAAAATACTATTTTTTAACGTAATAATGACAGTTGAAACTTTCTAAAAGACAGTTAGGCTCCATTTTGAATCTTTTTTCCTTATAGAAAGAGGGGTCAAGTGACACCTCGTTTTAAAGGTAATTTCATTCTTAAGTCAACCCCCAAATTTGAAAACATTTTAATAACGCGTATTCACGTGAAGACCAATTTAGTTTTAACCCCCGGGCATATTGATACATTTAAGAATTAATTCTGAACGTACTATAAAATGTGTCAATTAATTGTTGCTATGGTTTCTTGACTCTGACATTTATTTGTCAAATTTAAAGTTGATGAAAGTGACAGTATTTTCGTTTAAAGGACGAGCCATTGTCAATTTCATCAACTTTAAATTTGACAAATAAATGTCAGAGTCAAGAAACCATAGCAACAATTAATTGACACATTTTATAGTACGTTCAGAATTAATTTTTAAATGTATCAATATGCCTGGGGGTTAAAACTAAATTGGTCTTCACGTGAATATGCGTTATTAAAATGTTTTCAAATTTGGGGGTTGACTTTAAAACGAGGTGTCACTTGACCCCCCTTTCCATAAGAAGAAAAGATTCAAAATGGCGCCTAACTGTCATTTTGAAAGTTCAACTGTCATTTTTACGTTAAAAAATAGTATTTTTACTCCAATATAAACACCCCAAATTTCGCAACAAAAGCTCTTACCATTCAAAAGTTAAAGGGGGGGAGGGCGACGGACTTTTGGTCCTCACTGTATATAACCGAATGTAATTAGGAAATTCGGCCCCCCTTTTTAAAGCGGATGAAAATGCCCCCGGTACAGGCTCCGGAATTTTTTCCGGTCGAAAAGCACCCTCTCATATATACTCCTTTTTTAGTAAAGAAACACCATTAATCTTCTTCATCATTAAAGCGGTTAATTTCGGCTCTGGAGTGACATCGGCGCGTCTATACGACGCAAAACGGACGTTTCGAACTTTCGAAGAGACGGTTTTATTGAAAATTCGAAGCGCCGAAAGCCGGTCGGGACCCATCATTAATTTCACGTGGAAATTCTCGTTTCGAAACGAACGCGACTCGAACGATAATAAACACTTTATTCGTGTAATACGCGCGCATTTGCTTTAATAAACTTTATAAAACTAGTCGTTTATACACAAAAGAGATGATTAACTACCCAGTAGAGTCCTTTAGTCGCTCGAGAGAGTCAAATAGCTACCCAAAAGAGTCACTGAGCTGTTCTAATGTTGAAGATATAATTATTTAGTTTCCATCAAGGAGAAGTATCTAGTAGCCCAAAAGAGAGTCGATTAGATACTTAATAGAGTCATTTAACAGCCCAAGAGAGTCAATTGGACTTATAAGGGTCGTTTAGCTACCGGAAAAAAGTCATTCAGCTGTCCAAATCTTGTATAGTGAAGATTCTTTCAAAGAGGAATCATTTAGCACTTCAAGAGGGTCGATTAGGTACTTAGAGTCATTTAACCGACCAAGAGAGTCAATTGGACATCTAAGAGTCGTTTAGTTACCGGAAAAAAGTAATTTAGCGTCAATTTAGTGTCATTTTAGAGTCAATTACCCACCTAAGAGAGTCGAATTCATGTCGAAATAAGTCACCTAACCATCCAAAAATTCTTGAAATTAACAAGACAAAAATCGACAATGTTACCAACTGTTTAAGTAACCAAAAAAAAAAACCAATTTACATCTGTTTATATACGAACCTCTGCTGTTGATTTTGATATGGGTGGCGGGCGATAGTCGCTTGACGGCGGCCGAATGAACGCCGGCGTCGGCGTCGTCGTCGTCGTCGTCGCTTTTGCGCAGGCGTTTGGGCGATTGGGAGGCGGCGTCGCGACAATCCGGTTCGCGCTTCGTCACCGCCGACGACGGTTCGGACAGGTTGATGGGTTCCTTTTGCGGTTCGACGGCCGGCTGGTTGTTGTTCCAAAGGTTCCAGAGGTTCATGCGCGACATCTCCAGTTGATTTAATGGCGACGTCGCGTTGGGCGGCGACAGATCGCCGGGACGCGGCGGCGTCGCGGCGGTGTTGCGTATCTCTTTGTTCAACAGTTTGACGTATTCGAGCATGCGCGCTTCGAATTCGCTCGGCGCCAGACCTGGTGGACGATTTCACAAAAAAAAATTGCGGTTTAGAACATGAGCTTTAAATGAACAAAGTTGGTAAAATGAGACAAAATGGATAGAAATAGTAAATTGAGTCAAAATGAATAAGGTTGTTAAAATGAGTCAAATGATGAAAATTGGCTAAATGAGCCAAAATGGACAAAAACAGTGAAATAAGCACAAATGAACAAATTTGGTCAATTGTGACAAAATGAACAAAGTTGGTAAGATGAGTCAAAAATGGCTAAATAAGCAAAAATGAACAAAATTGGTAAATTGAGCCCAAATGAGAAAAGTTGGTTAAATGAGCTAAAATTGACAAAATAGTAAAATGAGCACAATTGAACAAAATTGGTAAATTGAACCCAAATGAGAAAAATTGGTTAAATGACCTAAAATTGACAAAATAGCAAAATGAGCACAATTGAACAAAATTGATAAATTTAACCCAAATGAGAAAAGTTGGTTAAATGAGCTAAAATTGACAAAATAGTAAAATGAGCACAATTGAACAAAATTGATAAATTGAGCCCAAATGAGAAAAGTTGGTTAAATGAGCTAAAATTGACAAAATAGCAAAATGAGCAAAATTGAACCAAAATTGGTAAATTGAAAAGTTGGTAAACTGAGTCAAAATTGGCTAAACAAGCCAAAATTGACAAAATAGGAAAATTAGCATAAATGAACAAATGGTAAATTGAGTCAAAATGAACAAAATCAGTAAAATGAACAAAAAAAAACCATGTAAAATAAACCTTCTTCGTACATAAATTCTAGTTACAAGTAGATATAAGAAAGAAGTAATAAAAAAAATGTAACAAACCTGGTAAAGGTCCGCCGTTGATGGGCTGGCCCAACGGTTGCGGATGACTAGGATGATGGGCGCCGTTGTGCAAATTGATGCCGCCGCCGCCGCCCATCATGCGCGCCGCCGCCACCGCCTGTTGTTGTTGCGTGACCAACGATAAAGGCGACATTTGCAACGTCGTATTCGGCGATCGCTGATGATGGACCGATTCGTACGGGCCGTAGCTGCTCCTTCTGCCCTCTCGTCGATTACCGTCGATGGCCGCTTGCAGTTCCTGAGGCGTGCTCAGACGGCGTTTTTCGCATTCGTACGGGTACAGGTATTTCATGTATCTATATATACAGACACAATTTATATACATTAGTAAATGCATCAGATAAATAAACTATAGAGAATTTAAATTTTGTAGGGCAGTGTAGAATAGTGTTGTAGGGTAGTGTAGAATACTGGTAGAACAGTATACAGAAGTGTTGTATAATGTAGGCAGTGTAGAAAAGTGTTGCAGGGTAGTGTAGAATACTGTAGAACAATATACATGTATAAGTATAATGTAGGGTTGTAGGGCAGGGTAGAATAGTGTAAATAATTATTGTAGAAGAGTATAATGCTCAGTAGAATAGTGTAAATAAGTGAAGAATAATATAGGTCAATGTAGAATAGTGTAGGGCAATATAGAAGAGTGTAATGTTCAGTAGAATAGTGTAAACAATTGTAGAATAGTGTAGGGCAGTGTAGAGAAGTGTAATGCTCAGTAGAATAGTGCATAAATAAGTGAAAAATAATATAGTTCAGTGTAAAATAGTTTAAAGAATTGTAGAATAGTGTAGGGCAATATAGAAGAGTGTTATGCTCAGTAGAATAGTGTAAATAAGTGAAGAATAATATAGTTCAATGTAGAATAGTTTAAAGAATTGTAGAATAGTGTAGGGCAATATAGAAGAGTGTTATGCTCAGTAGAATAGTGTAAATAAGTGAAAAATATATAGTTCAGTGTAGAATAGTGTAGGGCAGTGTAGAGGAGTGTAATGTTCAGTAGAAAAGTGAATAGATACTGTAAATAATTAATGTAGAATAGTGTAAAGAAGTTTAGAATAATATAGTGCAGTGTATTGTAGGATAGTGAAAAGAATTGTAGAATATGTAGGACAATGTAGAAGAGTATAAAAATGTAAGGCATTGTAGAATAGTGTAAATAAGTGGAGAATAATATAAGGCAGTGGAGAATAGTGTTATACAGAGTAGAATAGTTGAGTTAAAATAGGCATTTCTGTATCGGTGGGATATATTTGTCTCTCCCTGTATATATTAGTTTTGGGTGATTCATTGCTCTATTATTTTTTTTAATAAGGTAAAAATGTAGTTTCGAAATGTTTGGATGGTATTTAATGCAACCTACGCGTTGTCTCTCTCTCTCTTTCTCTCTCTTACGTGTCGCATTTATTTATTATTATCTAGTGGATTATTTTTGGACGGGCGAAATGTATATTGTGAGAAGATGTTGAGTGACAAATTGCGGTGGTTTAATGAGGAGAATTCGCAAAATTATCACTCAAATGCGATTCGGAATAATGATAAACAATGGGAGTTCGGTCGGGTGCCAATTTTTATTTTTGAATCGAAGAAATAACATTAGATAATTAATCGTTTATGAAATTTCACGTGTGTGTGTGTGTACGTTTTTAAACAAAAATTGGGCTAATGTTAGGCGGGATTTCACTCAAAATTTTTGACGTTATTCATCAAAAACCGCGTACACGAAAAAAAAAATAACTATAAATACGATTTTTATTATTATTGAGTTCTTTTCATAAGCTAATTTAAAAATTGATTGGTTTTTAGTTTAATTATTCGACAAATATAAAACTAGCGGTTGTAAAAAAGAATTTCTTCGAAAAAGTTCTCTTGAACAACAAAAAAAAAGAAACGTCTAATCGCTTTTATAACAGAACCGGCTTAGCCCCGAAAAAATTACTCATATAACACATAATACAAATTTCTAATAATTACTCTAGTTAATTAACAATCCGAGTATATTTTAAACGTATCTCTAGAAGGTACACTAAAATAATTAAATTTCGTTCAGAAAAAAAAATTATAATTTAAACGCGTAGGCAGAGCCAACTCTGAAGAGTTAAACGTCCGAAAGTGATTTATTACCGTTTCGATGTTAATAAAAATTCAAATAATACCCTATAAACTGATATGACTGAAAAGCAATCATAAAACCCAAACAACGGACGAACTAACGCACAAAAGAACGAAGAAAAAAAATATTAACTACACAACTCCAAACTTATATACCGGCAAAATTAATTATCGTTCGCTCCCATAAATTAATTAACAAATCGGCTAGATTCGAAAAACAAAATCAATAGGTACTAAATCCGGCTAATAAATTAGCCGTTGTCCCGTTCCAGAAGCGAATCTAGAGCAATTACAACTCCTAGTCAAACAACAAAACGAAGTCGGTACTTCGAAACGGGCATTTAACTGGTACTAACTCGCTCGTCGATTGTCTACTGTTAATGGTACTTCCATTTTATTGACTCGGACTATATTTTAAAATGCATTATCCGCACAATGTATGATTTTCGCAATAAAAGAATATATCAGCTTCTCTCTAAAAGTTTTTTATAATCAAATGGTTATGTAACCAACGATTTTTAAAAAGCAACGTTGCCGTATGTTTAAAAAATTCGGAAATATACATATAACCGTTGGTTTTACGGGGGTAAGAGTATATTTTCTCGAAAAACTTACTGTGTTCTTAAGGTAAATGCAGCCGATGTAATGGACGATGGTAAGTGCAGGCCTTTGATGATTTCTTGCCACAATTTTTTGTTGATTACATCGACGAGACCGCCTCTGGCTATCACCAAATTGTACAATTCGTAGAGATCAAGAACGGATTTCGCCATTATCGGTAGTCTGTTGATTGGGGTACCTGCAACAAAATGAAAATGAAATATTCTCGCGACCAAAGCTCTCAGATAATGAATATATTTCTAGGTCCAATTTACCACAACCAGCACCAAAAATGTGGTACTTGTTACAGCAAATTTCATTTATCTTTTTCAATAACTGTCTAATTATAATAACGAACATACACCAAACACTCTGGCGTTAATATTATTAGATTATAACCAGTCGGTTATTTTATTTTATTTATTTTTTTGTCGATATTCTTGAGCGTCTTTCTTTCCCGTCCACGTCTAGGCGTTTGATGATTTATTTAAATCCGAGTTTCTCTCTATCCCATTCGGGATTGTCTATGAATCGCGCGATCTATTTCTGGTGTACGGCCGGTAATTATACACTGGATGCGCCTTCAACAAATGGCTTCAATCTTCGATAGATGGGCTTTTTATTTTCGTGTTATTTCGCCGACGAAAACGCTCTCGGAAAATATTTATTATGTATAGTTTTCGGATTTTCGGCGGAAGCGCCGCGATTTTGAATTATGGCGGAGGAACCTCGCGAATTGTGCAACTGATTAGGAAAATTAATAGGATTTTTTTGTGCATTAAAACTAATAGAAATTCGTCCTTTAAGCTCGATTTATGAGAGGTGAAAACTGTCGAGGAATCCTTTCGATTCGAAGAGAATAAAATTGAGCATAATTATTAATATCCTTTCATACATATTCAAATAATTCGATAAGCAGGATTTAGTTTGTTATTCATTAATTTCCTTCCTTTAATTTAATAATTAGATATTAATTTCGTCTTAAGAGACAATTTAAAATTTTGGCGGATGCTTCGGGATAGGTACGATAAATTTAAAGCTCTTCGAAAAAAAAAATACTCGTCAAGTGTTTATTTTTTCCCAATGTTTTGACTCGAGAACGTAATCGCTGGAGCACCTGCGTTTTATTTCAATTCCATCTAGTCCACATCCATCCCAGATGTAGCATGTCGCGGGAACGCCGCTGACAATATTAATAGTTTGTTTATATTTAATATATTCGGCGCGTTTATATCTGGTAAAAATTAAATGAATTACGGACGATATAAAGGCGTTGCGTTTTTCAACAAAAATTAATCGATCGTTTCCTCTTGGAAATTCGACTTTGTAATTCGTGAAACGTTCCGAGAAGGACCATTAAAATTCGAACTTTTGTTACTTTTGTCAACGACCGTTTATACTCGGAAAACTTCTCGGAAACCGATCGAATTAAGGCTTCCATTGCACTATTATTATTCGGATAGAAACAATCGTGTTTTATAGCTTAAAAAAAATTAATTTCGTACCGGTATTGTTTCTTCACCGCGTAATATACAAGGCGTTCTGAGTTATGTGACAACAGGCTTCAACGAATCAACTCGAGGGCCGGGTATTCATATATATTTTTTTTTTATTAATATTTGATACAATGTTGCGTCGGGCGTTCTATACTCTCGCTTTTTTTGATTTATTTCCGGTCGTTATACTTCGACATTTTCTCAGAATCGCCGCTTTTATGACCTCAGGGAATATGTACGATTACTCATCATTAATGCTTGTCAACTAACACCGCTAATTAATGCTTATAATAATTACTAAAAGTAATAATAAAATAATTAATTCTATATACCGCTTATATAAAGTTCTGTTTGTGGTAATTCAAGCGTTTCTACATATACAGGGTGGTTCAATTAAAAGAGAGAACGTAAATTATACAGTGCAACTTGTATTGTAAAAATAAATCACTCTAGCTGTTAAGGAGTTGTAGTTGACCTGGTGAAGCTTTTATTGGAATTCCTCGTACATTAAATTTGCATAATAACAGTCAATTAGGCTCTAGTTTTGACATAAAGATAAATATTTCGATTCGGAATAATCAAATAGTAGATATCTTTTAAGAGAAACGAAATTGCATCGAATTATACAAGATGTACAAAGTACCTGTGTCATGGGATTGGTTCTAATGGTAGTTACCCACACGAGAATCATCGAACATATCTTTCCCCTCTTATACAAAAATAAAATAAATTACAAAGCAAATCACCGATAGTGTACCTATATGCACATCATGATGAGTAATAACAGTCTTTCGCTAAATCTACACCGTAACATTAAAATAATTCGTGATCTACTAAACGAATAAATTGGCCGATTCCTTCGACGTATAAGGCGAAACGGTTATTTAATTTTCTCGATTGCCGGCCAATGATGGAACTCTCGCATGTGCCGTTTGGTTTTCCGTCGATTTAAAATGGAAGATGACAGGTAAATTTCCGATTAATTAATAACCTATCCTCGTATAATCCAATACAGTCGGTGTAAAACTAATATCAAAATGCTAACTGTATATCCCAGAGTGTTTTGTGTTGTAGATAATGAAAAATATTGAATTTTTTAAGCATTTGAATGTTTTTTTTTTGGTCGATAATAAAACAGTAAAAGATCCGGCCATTTTAATTTTGTCAGCTGTTTGTATACATATAAATGTTTGTGTCAATGCTCCTGATTTAGGCTAATAAACTTGTATAAACCGGCGGAATTCCGCTGTCCGACATAAATCAGATTTTCAATTAAACCGTATATAAAACTATATTTGACTCGGAAAAATTTCTTTTTCGTTTTAAAATCGCATAAGGACATCGCAAATAGGCCCGGCGATACACCCGAAAACAATTTAACTTTACACCACCCTGTATATACGTTAATAATAATTTACCATATACATTTGATTAGCCTATATACATTTTTTTGTGAGGATGAGGAACAAGAAGTAAATTATAGTGACTGAATAAAGACCAGACATTATAATTTAAAAAATTGGTATAAATGAGTTATTAAAATTCGTTTTTTCTTTTCGTAATAAAATGGGATTTTCGAAACCGCTTTCACTAAATAAACTCGAAAACAACGCACTCTAATTTAACGATGACAGAATGGATTCCATATGTTTTTAATATCGGCCCGTCAGTCGTCACATTTGGCTCTTAACTATGGACAAATTCGTGGAAAAAGGTCGATATTTATATTTATGGACGTGTATACAGGGCGTTTATTGACGCGCTATTAATTTTCTAAATCGGTATAAACATTCCTACACGCAGAAAACGCTTTACACACAAACACACTGATAAAAGTTGATGTTAATGCTTGTTATTTTCGGTAAATATAGAACGAAACAAACGGTCGATAATAAAGTCATTATTACAAAACAAACCGTCCATTAGGCTTTCGGAAAAGAACGAGTTAATCAAATCGGAATTCCTATATATCCAAATTAATTAGCGCCGCAACAAATTTTAGTGCGAGAATTTCGAACAGCCGGTTTATATTTCGAGTGTGGTTCATTAAAAAAAGAACTATTTAAAACTGCATCTAAATAAATTATTTAAACAAACAGTAGTATAAATTAAAAAATTAAATTGAAGAAATCTAAATAAAGATGGAAGCGCTCCGGTTTTATAATAGCATTTATACACCCAGGTAAATAAGTAGACGATACACTGAATAATCGACCGTCTGGCTATATAGATTAAAATAGCAAACTGACACGAATGACAGACTATGAATGATTACAGTCACATGATATCCCCCATAGAACAGGACACAACAGAAAAACAAAATAAACTAATATCATCGTTGGGCGAGAGCGCGGAGGCCGACAAATAAAAATATCTTTCTAATACCTCGAATCGCACGTTTAACAATTTATAAATAAAACCCGCGCGGGGAATTTAAATCGTCCCGCGATCGAGGACGAGCATCATAAATGAGAGAGGGTTAAGGGACGGCGCCCCGTTAGCGAATGAATTCAATAGAAAGTCTCACGTAAGAAAAATGAGAACATATTAAGTAGTACCACTATTTTTTATACTTTTTAATTTCGCTATTTTGTTTCATATGTTTTCAAAATAATTGGTAATTTTGTGGCATTAATGGCGATTAAAAATTGTCGAGGCAATGGTTTTAGACCGCCTGCGAGGCGAATCGATTGAAAATTATTATAACCGGACTCGAATTTTACGATTCCCGCGGGGTATACGAAAGGTATGAATGAAAGAAGAGCGGATCAATGGACGAGGAAAATGTTTCAATGGAAACGAAGCGAAAAATATGTTGCGTAAAAAGTCTTTTGGGACATCCTGTATAAACAAAATTATTTTTAAAAGCAACTCGCCTAGAGTAGGCACCAAAAACGCAAAAATATACCAGCACGTCCCATTTAAAAAAAAATACTTCTTTTATACGAAACCACCTGTTATACAGGGCGTTTCACAACTTATCCGACAAATTCTAACCACATATGCACTGTTATGAGAGAAGTTGATTTCTCAAAAAAAATGTAATAAAAATCCTACAAAAATTAAATTATTAGTTTCAATAATAAATTGAAAAATAAATATATCTGCATTTTGCGTTCATAATTTTGCCTTAATACTTTACTGTAGCAAATGTTGCACCAAAACAATGGTTAAAACAAAAAACAAGCAATGCAGATTGTATTGCAGTAAATGTGAACAATTTTGAACATCTTGTATAACTAATTGAACTGTTAAACTATTATTTTATTATCTCGATTTCTGTAAGACTTTTATTACATTTTTTTGGGAAATCAACTTCTCTCGTAACAGTGCATATGTGGTTAAAATTTGTCGGATAAGTTGTGAATCACCCTGTATAGGCTCTAGAAATGCGAGCGTTTTAAAATATACAGGGCGTCCCGCGTATATATACGTTTATCTTCGGGTATATCCCGAGCGAGTACCTATTAAAAAAAAAATCTCCTTCACCACCAAATGCAATTACGAAAATGTGACTTAATGTTCCCGAGATTTATGCTCCGGTGTGCGGATGATTTTTTTTTTTAAATATATTAATTTACGAGCGAATCGGAGGCTGCTCCGGGCAACCTATATAATACGTGCATATACAGGCTGGCGCGCGGGACGGTTTATTTCGTTTTTTACGATTCGTATTTTTTACTTTTTGCGGTTGGCAACGCTC